TGGGTACGATGGCCGCTGCACCATATGACGGCTCACAGCACAGCAGGCCCGCGAGACCGAACATTATCTGGCGCGCTCAGTGTCAACACCTGAGTATTCTTACAACATTACAACAATATGCCATTTTGGTTGAAGATGCCAGAAAAATCAAGAGGACCGACATTGCGCGGAAGTGTGGCATAGCCTAGTTCACTTTGACGACCGTCATAAAGAATGGCGGCAAAATCGATGCTCTTTTGGGAGACGATGTTGGCAGCGGTGATTGGAAGTGGATCTGCGCTGCCACTTATGACGATGTTGAATTGGCACTGTACAAATGGTTTGTAGATACTCTCACAAAGAACATCCCTCTCAATGGACCCATCCTGCTTGCACAGGCTTAAAGGCGTGGGTTTGTTCTCGGCCATGAGAACCTTAATCCAGGCAATGGATAGTTGCTGCGATTCAAAGATCGCCATGGCATCATGTGCAAAAACTTTGGCGGTAAAGCTGCATTCATTGACGAGGACGGTCTCCAGCGTTAGATGGAGGAGAAGCAGAGGTGCCGCATTCTGCAGAGGTGCCACATTCAGATGGATATCTACAACACTAATGAAATGGAGCTGCTTTTTCAGTTACTGCCAGCAAAAACTCTCGGGGCGAAGACTGATAAATGCGTGGAAGGAATAAGCACCACAAATGACATCACAGTGTTGGTGTGCACAAACATAGATGGCACAGACAAGCAGCCCCTATTGGTGATTGGCACGCATAAGAAACCGCTAGGCTTTGCCAAGGGACTGTGAATGCCAGTAGCATGCAGTTAAGAAGGCGTGCAGTTTTGGTTCGATGTGAAAAAGTAAGTTATTAGTGGAGATAAAGCATAGACCAAATAGCTCTTACTCAATTTCTCTCGCCCCAGACTCTGTGCTGAAGGGAATTTTGTCTCGAATCTGATTGCTCTTGGCCAATCAAAAAGCACGATCACGTCACCACATGTGCCTGCGGCTTACATGATTACCACGATGGTTGTGGTTGGAGACTTTAAGCCTCGCAGCAAAGATTTAACATGAAAGCAGGATTGCATTTCAGTGAGTTTACAGGGATCCCCTGTGCTCTCACGGCGGCAACGAAGCCTGGGTCCAACCTAGGGAAAGTGAAGCATCATTTTTGTTGATGACAGTCAAGGCATTAGATTGCAAAGTTCTGTTGAATTTTTCGTTCTTATTATTGGCGTTTCCGTGTTAAAAAAACCTCTAGGAGAGGAGCCATGCCGGCAAAAACGTCGTGGCAGAGCAGTGAGAGCAAAGGCACTCAATCAATCCTCCACTCAATTCGTCCCTCAAGTGCAGAATGCATCCGAAGATTAGGTTGAAGGTTGCCAGTTAGAAAAGATGCACTATGGGATGAAAACCATTGAAGCCCCATGTTTATTTATTTATTTATTTTTGCGGGACAGCGGCAGAACGCTTGTGCAATAGAACGCGAAATCGCTGCAAGGCTCGCTCGTATAAGCGGCGTCAACATCACTGGAGTCGCACTACACTTGATGCTGTTATTGGCCACACGTTTGCAGAAGCGGAAAAAAAATAACAAAATAGGAATTGTGAAGAGATCGAGCTGAACAGCTTTCTGCAAATCATGGCTGGACTGCATTTGTGATGTCGAGAAACGTGAAGGGTTAGTACTATCACCGTCAAATAAAACACGAACAGCGGCAAGCATAAGCACCCGTTCCAGTCGTCACTGTGGACATGCGCAGAGCTGCCAAATAGAGTTGATGCGCGCCTACAAATGGTGATGACTAGAATTTATAATAGTTGCTGCTGTTCACTTTTCATTTGACGTCGATAGTACATGTATATAGGGTGTCCCAGTTGTCAGGCATCATGATTAAGAAAAAGAGGAATGGCGTTACACAAACTAAACCTAGTGCATATTGTCCCCAGTACACTGTAGTATCTACTACTATTTTTTTTCCTGAATTATTTATTCATAATTATATTTCTAACTTGTAAAATGCTCGCCAAATTATTGAAACTATGATGAGACAGATGGGCTCATTTTCAAATGAAATCGGTGTGTGCTACTTTCAATAGCGTACTCATTTTTTCCAGTTAATAAAGATAGCACGCAAAACATGAAACAGAACACACGACTGTGCTCTCACCTGCAAAAGAAAGCAGCGTCCTTGAGTAACTTTAGTGCAAGCAACTGCTTTACCTCTTTTCCATTGTTGATTTCTGCACATTGGCACGGTACAGGTCAGCCGCCAACATGTTGCAATATTGCAGGGATTCCTTCCTGATTGTACGTCACTACGATTATCCATATCTCACGGCCAACTGTTTTTGCTAATAATGCCGCTAGAGCACTGTTCTGATTACAGTCTGGCTGTGTAAAATCAAAAGCGATGTGTTTCTTCGGACAAAATAGCGAGATACCGCAATTCTTTTTTTTTTTTCCATCTGTATACATTTCTTTTACTGATTTTGGCAACGTTAACGTGATCCTGTTTGAAGGTGTTGCTTTCCGAGGTGCGAGGAAAACATGAACATGCAATTAGTATGTTGTAAAAAGAAGTGCATTTGGATGTCATTTCAACATGTGCACTTCTGCACCATTGACATTTCGATAATTTAAGGGAGCACTTTTTGCATTTAAAATATTATTATGACATGACTAAAAAATAATTGAAGAATAAAAAATAGTAGTGGCTATTGCAGTATATTAGGAACCATATGCACTAGGTTTGCTTCATGTAACACTATTTCCCTTTTTAAAAATTATGCTGCGTGATAATTGGGACACCCTGTATATCCTTGAGTTTTTTGCCATTTTCCCGCTTGTTGTAAAGCTCGGTTCACATAATAATGACATGAGTGTGATCGCAACAGTATAATTTGCCGTTACAGCTCTGCTTCCTGTACATTTTTAGTGCTTGCTACTCTGCACGAGGCCCACCCAGGGCACAGCAGTCACCATGCTATGACATTACGATCACGTGACGTCACCTTGCTTCATGGAACCTTGCTCTGAAGATGGGCAGCCGGCGGGCCTCAAAGTTCCTTTTTCAGTCGGCCTAGTTTTGCAACCAGTAATGTGCACTGGCATCTACAAAAAATAGCTTGGAAAGTGTGACCATGTTTTCGATGTGGCTGTGTATCACAATTAATGCATCGTACACACAAAAGAGCAGAGTGTAGTTTCATAGTTTAGGATTTACTTCAAGGATAACGAGCATTATGATGCATGGCTGATAAAGCTAGTTAACAAGGATCAGTGAGCCCAAGTCGAGCGCACGTGTTTGCTGCAAACACTTCGATAAGGTGACTAGAAACAACGATGTTAATTGGTGAACTACAAGTTCACATGTTACCCTTGCGTCTCCACGTGAAGATCATAACACCTCGTAGTCTTCTAAAAGATTGCTTCGGTGTTGTCACCACTAATAGTCCACCCCATCCTAGGCATGCTGATAAAGGAAAATGTTGTGGCGAAAGTACCGATGATGAGAGAAAAACGAGGTGGTGTGGCACATTTTCATGGAAGAAAACGGGCATTGAAAGAGTTTTTGATTCGAAAAAGAATGAAGTCTTACAGGAAAGCCTATACTTGGTTTTATCTTTTAACACATCCTTTGATCTCGACGTCTTCCCATGAAAGCTTGCTTACGTAAGCTTGGAGGCTGACATGTTTGATGAGTTCGTAAACAGCTTCTCGATTGTCACTCTTCAGCAACAGGACTGTCGGTTCCCTTTCCGATTTTTACTATGGTTACATTAGTATCCCAGCCATAGCGGCTTCATTGCGTTTTCAATAAAGGCGAAAATGCTTGAGGCTTATGTGCTTAAATTAAGGTGCACGTTGAAAAACCCAAGCTGGTCAAAATTTCCAGAGCCCTTTACTACGACGTCTCTTATAATCATGTGGTGGTTTTCGGGCGTTAAACACCAATAATTATTACGGTTATATTCGTGTGGAAGCACCGAGGTGCTTTGAGCCTAACCAGAAGAAAACGAATGTTTCAACTGATAAGTTTAGTGGCGAAGCTAGAAAAGGTTAGGGAGGTTCAACCTTCCACCAACCTGATATTGCAATTATATATCTATGCACATGTGCACACAAACACATGCCAGGTCACTAATAAAGCAAATCAGAACTGAGAAAGAGTTACTGTCTGTGACCCAAGATACGTACGTTCATGATTAGGATTATGCTGCTGTGGAAACAGGCTTACACAGACCTATTTCTCTCATTGTTTTTAATGGGCGTGAATATGAGAAAGGAGCCACAAGTCCTTGCTGATATTGAGCCACAGGTTCCCATAAAATTGTGTTTCGTTTGTTGATGGAAAGGAGCACCCTTGTCTCACAGCTATTACCCGAAGAGAAGATGAGAAAGGGGGTGTTGGAACAATCTCGTGACATGCCCCCACTTGTTTTGAGCCTGAAGGGGTGACCTTTGTTATGGGGCGCCCCTGTTTGGTTCCTCCGGAAGTCCCCGAGCTCATGTTGTGTGGACTCGGCTAGGGGCCCCGCCCCCTTCCAAGTGATGCCCGGAGCACTTCTACTCCTTTACATTCTCTCTTCCCCCTAGTTACGCCACTGACGCGTGTAGCGTGTACGTGCACACACATACATAGCAATACCCTAAAATGGGGACAGTTGCTGGACCGCTGCCATAGCTCAATTGGTAGAGCACCAAATGCATTGTCGAAAGGTTGTAGATTTGGCTTTAACTCCATTCTAGTTGTCATAACTGCTGTGCAGTTCAGAACTACATTATGCCCATTCTTAGTTTCTTTAAGTAGTGTGTAATGGGAAAGGAGATCATGATTGGTTTTGTTTTGCATGCACATATTACCGATAATGGGGACTGCCTATAGAAAAAAAAAATGCATCAACTCGTGCTGACGGCAATAATTATGTTGTGTGTGCAGAAGTGGTTGGTGCTTGCATTGCAGTGTGGTTGCTTAGATAGTAGCATTGTTTGTCTCAACAAAAATTATTCTTTTCCAGGAAATGAAAGTAAACTGGGCCACATCACCAGGCAACACGCCAAAGCTCGACACTAGCAGTGAGTACATCTTCACGGCTCACGAAGAGGCATTTTTTTTCTTGGCTATTATCTCAAGGATGGGGCTATATGTATGCCGCCTGTTTACCTGCTGTGCCAAGTGCTCTTCATCTGTGCTGTTGTAAAGTTTCCTCCGAGTGCCACGCTGATAGTATGCGACGCTACCTTCATTACCACGTACAGGCTTGGGACGCACCATAACTATGCACTAAATGGTCGTGTGTAGCAAACTTTTAATACATATGTGTATCGAACATGCATCACATAAGAGCATCTATTAGCCATGTAGGTCTTTGCCAATACGGGGGCTATCTGCACTGAACCACTGCTGTTGCGCCATACTTGTTTATCAACGCCGTATTGCACTTTCAAATATAGCCGTAAGGTACGACAGCCATCAAGCCCGAAAACGTGGCTGAAACGTGTTTTTGGTTTCATCGAAATGATTTCATTGCAATTCTGCAATGGCAATGATAATTTGAGCAGCAGCTGTAAACTTTAATCGTAAGGTTTCGGTCACGATCACTGGTGCGCATGCCCTCTTTGAAGGCATCAGCACGTGTAGCTTGTAAACCCTTCAACGGGGCATGTGGTCAACGTAAAGAGTTTGAAAAGAGCATCTCTTCATGGTGCAGCAGTATTCTCCTACTTTTACATTTAGTAGAGCTACGCAATATCTGATCTAGGAGAGCCGGGTTGCCAGCATTACTTTGTATAACATTACAATTTATTGCTGTTGCATTTTGCTTCACCCTTGATGTGAAACTGATGTTTTATATAACTTCATGGCAGCATTCAGAACAGAAACAAAGGGTAATGGCAACAGTGCTGAAAAGAAGTGGATTGATGTCTGGTTCCTGGAACAACCTACAGTGGTGGTCCACCTGCGCCAATTGTGCCAGTTGGTACCATTCTGTGCCCCTGTGCACATTCGAGTACAGCTTGCACAGACTGTGCCAAAGTTTACTGGTTCATCTGTTTGCACGTTATCAGTGCGTATATGGCCTGGAAACATTTTTGGTCGCTGCACTACCGGAGCTTTTACATCATGCCGCCGATGTCCTCTACTCCATCCAATCTGCTGCTATGTTTTCTGTCATTACTAGAGATCGAATTATGGGAATTTGTTTGTGGTTATTTTATACACCAGTTTGTTATATGAGCATGAATTGAAGGTCCTGGAACGGTTTTTATAGTGCCTATCAAATACCCATTTTCAAAATAAGTGTCCATATGAGCGCTATGTTACCTGGGCTGGCTGTTCTCATTTTCCTCTTTGTGCGCTTGCCTAGCGCGTGCCCCAGCAATAGCCGCGCTCTCTTCGTTTCACTCGGCCACACTGCTGCACTGCATGGCAATCGAGCTATGGAGGTGTTTCTTGTGGGCGGGTTTTACCTACACATCGATGGTTAGTCCCAACCACGTTGCAACTTTGTTTGGAGATTGACCGGAAGTGTCTCTGGTTAGCTGCACAGTGCGACGCAGTGGATGCCGTATGCCTAGTAGATGCCACCTGAGCATAACGATGTGCTCTTTATGAGTGTTTGCTTGCCGAGTCAGAAAATGCATTCGCAACACTGAAAGCACGTAGAGACTTGGGGACGTGATCATGATACTACGCGACTGCATCTTCACGGTTAGAAATGCTGTGCACCATGCTGCGCCGCCACCTGCTCAAAGGCGTGTTATTGCTTTGAAACTGCTTCCACGTTGTCTTCAGTCCCTTCATGCGCCGCCACTGCAGCATGGCTTGGCGACATTGGTGATGGTTCGAGATTATCAGTTTTGCCGCAAGAATGAAGCTATAGCAACACATTGTAAGGCTATAGGCTAACTTTTTTTAAAATCCGATCTCGTGTAACTCTTCTAAATGCTGGCAGTGTAAGAAATATGGCCACGTCATGGAGCGAAGCAGTTTTTGCACTTTTTGATCTCAGCGCGAAATGAGCGGAGTGTTTGCTGATGTCATTTGGGTGCACATGAGAACCCCAGGTGGTCAAAATTTTTGGAGCCTTCCACTACACTACTTTCATAATCACATGGTGGTTTTGGAACGTTAAACCCCCCATATCAATCAATCGTTTACTGATGTCCGTCTCTAGCGCGTGCACCCTTACGGCCAAAGTTCAAGTTGCTGCGCTTACCCCCCTTTCATTGACAGCAAGAAAACCGATGAGAGCAACGTTTTCGCACACATTTCGATACAAAAATGAAAAATCGGGAACTAAATCATGCTCATCTAGAGCGCTCAGCCGGCTGCTTTTGCTAGAGTTTTAAAAATGTGCAAATAGCGATGCTTTAATGTAATTATACCGAGCATACTGTATGCATTCTTTTGCTATGGCACAAGCATGTATGGAAGCTTGTAGCAGCTACGTGCAACAGTGTCCACGGCCTCGCATTGTGCTGCTCTAGACAAGCGTGATTCCGTCTGTACGCAAATCGCCGATGCTAGTACCCTTGCTGCTAAAGGTACCGACGACAAAGCACGGCCGCTTGTAGATGCGTCCTTGCATCGTTAACCCCGAATGCGCTCCATTGAACAGTTATCAAAGTGCTGAATCGGTCAGTGGCAGCAACGATATCAAACTAAACGGTCTAAGCAAACGAACAATAATCGAACACCGGCTTTAGCGTGGACCTCAGGTGAACGAATAACTTGCTGGTTTAAGTACATGCAGCCTGGGTTCGCGATAAACTAGCGCACTAGCACATTACACAGGGCATTCAATATGGGACCACCCTGTCGTGAAAAAGCTATGCTATGCTTTACCCTCTCACCTCTTCACCCTCACTTCTCATTCCCACTCCTGGCCATGCTCTCTCTCTCTCTCTTATATATATATATATATAATGGAAAGAAGTGTATACCTAAGGGCTTGTTTTTCCGTGTTTTAACACAATATTAACGAGATATAACAGACAGTAATGCCCAGGAATGTACAGGGGAAGTTATTAGAACCAATGGAATGTAAATAAGAAGAAAGAAAAAGTGGATTAAAAAATAATTCCTGCTCACAGCTGGTTATTTTGTGCGGCCACCGTAAGTGCGGCCACCGTAAAGAGTTTCGTTGATTCAGTACCAAACTGCAACTTACATGTGTGGCAGCTTAGGCTAGTTGGTATGGCATGACGATAGTTATAGCGCAAGAACGAAACGACAACGCAGAGATGAGAAGGACACGTGTCCTTCGTGTCCTCCTCGCTTCGTGTCCTTCTCGTCTTTGTGTCGTCCATTTGTTCTCGCGCCATAACTATCGTCATGCTACTATCGTGACCGCTACCAATTGAAGCGCAGCCAACGCCGATCAGGCCTAGCTTGCCATTTGGTATGTTGTCGCAGAAAGTTTGTCCAAAACGTGAAGATTCGGCATCAAAAAGATAGCACTAACAGTGAACCACGAACAGCATGCATGATACGAAGTTCGCGTTTGTGGCCGGCAGATCAGCAACGACGACAACTCGCCAAGCTTACGTACGACAGCGCACTGGCAGCAAAAGTGAAAGATCGCGTCGTAAACCATTAAAGGTTTTCAATTTATGGACAAGGAAGCAAACACGATAGTTGTTGGAAGCTCGATAATGATGTCTTTCCCGACAAGAAATTGTTAAGTGCATGCAGTTGATAAGAATGGGATCGCACGTGCCACGTTGAGCGATGTGCGGCCAAGGCCATGCTAGCAACGTAGTGCAGTCGCGATCTTTTTGCGAGTGAACACGGGAGCGCGTGACTTTTAGAGCTCCGAGCGCTGTGAAGCGGCGGCACCCAGAAGCATTGCTTATGCGCAGTGCGGCCGGGCTGCGGAAATGATACCGGCGCGCGCATTGCATCAGATGAGCTAGCGCATGTCGTCTGCTTCACGTGCATGGCAGTAGGAAAGTCAGGTGCTTCTGCGTGGCAAGAATGTTGAACTTCTAATCATGCCCTCCCTGACTCACAAATTAACATTTTGTTTTTAAGATCATCGTTAATTTGTCACTGGGCACTTTCCCCGACACACATTGTGTGTTCCAGCATGGCCTGGCGCCTGGGCACACTGCAAAATTTATTATGAACGAGCACGTGGAAAATCGCCGGGTTGCGGTGCTCATCTGCAAGCTTGAGCATTTGTGAAAATATATGGCAATATACACAAAATAGGCTATGGTGCGGCATGCTGTTAACTTGGCAGCTCGAAGAAACTGAAGGTTCGGCAAGAGTGGCAGAATGTTCGAGCGCATCGTTACTTTGTGCCAGCGCTGCACTCCTCACAATCTTCCAGAATAGCAGCAGTGCTCTTAATTTTTGAAAGGGGAATATGAGAAAATACTAATGTAACAACAAGGTACGCTATTCCAGATTAGTGATAAAACTTCCTTAAACTAATTCATCTTTTGTGGAACGTATCCCAAATAACCGTTTGGGTAATTGTTTCTTTTTATTTTCGTTGTACCACTACAAGAACGCAAAAAAAAAAGACAAAAGCCAAGTCGCACGGCAGGCATATGAAATGCGCTGATTGAACTGAAAGCATCTAAGCTTTATTTGCCATAATAATACGGTCACTAAGGATGCCGAAAATCAGTTAGCAGACGACACACGAGCACAGCAGTGATGTGATGCGCGCAGATACTGTGACCTGCCACCTTTTGGCGCTCGTAGAGCCGCAAGCCACGCACTCCTCTGGTCACTCTCAAAAAGATTGCGACTGTACGCTGTAGCCGCGTCTGCGCTGGTGCAAGATCGGTCACCGAGGCGACCGTCCTTCTCCCTTACTTATCGAGCCCGTGCAGTGTCCCATAATTTTTGTTTTTTAATTTATTTTCCTTCTCTCCGCCCTTCGTGCGTTCACTCCGTGGCCCCTCCTCCTCCGTAACGACCTCGTCGTTCACTCTACAGCGGCACACCCAGCACGCCTCCTTTCAAGAGAGCACTCGCAACTGCATTTGTCACAATTTCCGGCAACTGCATTATAACCGGTCATTCATATTGGGGGGACTACACAATAAGCGGTATGCGTATACATGGGGTTCTATGGGAGGGTAAACTTGCGCTGTCAGCCAGTGAAAGGTCAATGGGAAGCTATTGTGCCATTTTTGCTCGTTCTGACAACTACAGAGAAAAGAAACTGCTGTCTCAATGCGAGATTTGTATTACCAAACGTGCAGCATTTGTGGTTGTGGATACTACATGGTACATTGTTTGTGTTATGGGTCTAGTTCTACGTGACTAGCGGCATGTAGGCTACGGCCTTTCGTCTGGCATTCAAGCGCTAAACACCAAGAGAGCAGCTAAGAATTTGAAAGCAATGTTCGTGCTACTAAAATCAGAGAAAATGCTGTCTTACTTCGCCGGAAGCCAGATCAGGTGAAAGTTGAAAAGGTAGCTTGGTGGGGCGGATTCTGACCAGTGAAGGTATTGTTGCGCAAAGGGTTAGATCGGAGCAGTTTAAGTTAACATGGAAGAACTTGCAATCATGTTGTACGAAGTGGAGGCTATGATAAACTTATGTCCACTGACTTTCACCCATAATGATGCTCAGGAGCCAGAACCACTGTCGCCAGTGCATTTCCTCGTCAAAAGAAAGCTGGTAACCCTTCCTCGACATCACCTGCCAGGCGAAATTCCAGGTAGTGACGTGCATCTTTCACGATGATGGGGTACTGATCGGCCATGGCTGAGGGATTCTGGAAACGTTGGCAAAAAGAGTACTCATTGGAGCATAGATCGCCATATTTGTCCCGCCCATTGACATAGAATGACCTAAGGATAGACTGATATTGCTTTAGCGCAGCTCAGTTTGAGTGTGAAGGAAAGATACTATGCAGTCAAGAAGGGGAAAGACAGACGACAGTGTGAGCGCTAACTTCCAACTTTTGTTTATAGTGTACCCTTACAACACATTGTTTAACTCATTCCACGTGACGCCACACACATGACGAAACCGTACACGTGTGATGCATCACACTATCAAGGAAACCTAGTTATGATCTGATTTCAAATTAACAATTCTATATCAATGCTTCACACCACGTGCTCCAGAAAATTGAGCTCTTTTTGAGATAAGGCCACAGACAGCATACTCACACACAGCTCCATAATTTCCCTCAATAATTTGAGGGAAATTATTGAGTTCGCCTCAATAATTTGAGGGTTCGCGGGTGATGGGCGTGATGACGTCGCACGAGTCGCTAGTGATCGCTTCACGTGAATGTGTGATCGTCAGTAGCGCATCACCATTCGAACGACATTTCATTTTATATGCATGTTAGCGTGTTAGAAAGTGCATATGTGTATCGGAAGTGACTTGAATCCATGTCGGTCACTACCGATCACCTGCTCATTTGTCGCTGAATTGGTGCCGGCAACATTACACACACAACTTCTGAGTTGGTCACATTTTGTTACCAGTGATCACAACATGGGTTTTTGCAGCGACAGTCACTAGTGGCTCACTCATTCTTTCCTCTACGCATCCTGATAACATTCCCCCTTAAGTTCACTGCAAAGCTATTCACTCCCCGCATTCTCGAAAATTCTGGATCGCTTTGAAGTCGCAATGTAGTCGGTATTACATTTGCTGGCGTCCGGATTAAATTGGCCGGCTGTTGGAATAACTTCAGTGGCACTTGGATTAATTTGAGTGGTGATTGGATTAAATTGATTGGTGCCTAGATTAATTTGGCTAACACTTGTATTAAATGAAGCGACAAAACCTGTAGAGACTCATAGCTGTAAAGAAATGCATTGCAAATTATTGTTTTTTTTTTTTTTCCAGAACACCATCACATATTCGTAGGAGACCTGAGTCCTGAAATAGAGACAACCCAGCTGCGAGATGCTTTTGCCCCTTTTGGTGATATCTCGTGAGTATTTAATAATTAGTCATTCTTATATTTGCCAGTAATTTACATTTTTCAGGTCTTGTTCTCCCTGGGTAACTTTTAATTCATGCACCACTCTCAGTAAGTGCCCCAAAGAATGTCACTGGCTTAGTCAGAGCTAGTACCTTATTTCTTTGTTAAGCATTTATGGCAGTGACGTACGTATGCCTAAATCTTTGGCTTACATTGTTCGCAATTTCATACGTTTGAAAATCTAGTTAGCTTCTCTGCTCATCTGACTTTCTTCTGGGTGCTGAAGGATGTGAGCCTCACGATGTTTATACAGGCTAATCGCACAATAATGACAAGATTAATCAAGAAATTTTATTGTAGCTAAATTTTGTCTGTAGGACAAGAAATTCGGTAAGATCTGATGAATATAACTCGTCCTTTAATCTCGGTAAGCGCATGCATTTAACTTTCGCAAACTTGGAGGTACCTGGTCGCACACCGAGCAAATCTATATTCGTTGAAATAACATGCACAAAATATGCAGAAAGTTTCAAGATAATCTCGGGATGAATTTTGGTATGCACGTTGGCCTCCAGCATGTCTTAACGGTAATGCAACAAAGGCTGCCTAGCAATAATATGTGCGTACTTTCTTGCTTTCACAGCTTGCAGCTGGAAGTGTCTGGTAAATGCTAGGGTAGTGTTATACACGAGAAAGTAATATATGCAGACAACCTTCAGAGCTTGCAGAGCACGCAGTGACATGATTGAGTGTACAAAATTTTCACTAAAGAACAAGTGAAAACTAAATGCCAAAGCTCTGCACTATCATAGCCATAAGCGAACGACAGCAAAGCCGTAACACTTTGTTCCGTTTTACAGCCTTATTGCCCATAATCTTTTGCTGTGATAGCTGCCTACCTTCGGAGTTTACTCGCTATCGATCAAGCCGTTATCGACCGTGGTTTTTTGTGCAGCTGTTGCAGCAAACGATAGTTATGTTTTCAATCTCTGTGCGCTGCTCGTGCATATGCCTTCTGAACTGCATCATTGCTGTTTCTGATCGCATCGACTGTCACGATTTTATCTCGGGAGCGCTTGCGAAGGATGGAATTGAGAGAGACAGGCATGGCAAACACACACTTTCTGACCCAAAAGAATAAAGGCAAAAAATCACAAGCGGAGAACAAACACTCGCGGGTGCACAATATTACTGCAGTAACGACCCGTACATAGTCATACCAAAACTTGTCTAAATCTGTCACTAGCCCTAGTCGGTAGTACTAAGCCAGTATGGCATCTCAATAATGTAACGTCTTTACAGTTAGCCACGTTGCTACATCGACTGGTTGCCCTTTGCTGTGTCGGCGCTCAGTCGAGTCCTCCATAGACGTTCTCCATGAGTTCCTAACGTAGAGGCCCTTTTCCACCGACCAAGGCACTTTTCTTCATTGCCAGTGTCCCGGTATTTGTCGCAGTCTTCAACTTCGCTAGGCTAGGCTTGGCTCGTCAGGGACTCCCTTCCTAACGGGTCCACCCTGCTGCCTGTTATCCTAGCGCGATGTGTGATAGCTGCAAGTCCACCCGGAACAGCTGGGCAAGGGTGTGGAAATTCGGGGCAGCCTCACTCGGGACCTTCGAGGTCTATGGCCACTTTTCGAGCCTCTCACGTTGACATGCTTCAGAATCAAGCGGCTACGCTGCTCCTGTCGTTGTAGCGACGCTGGTTTCCCACGTCTTCGCAGCTCGGAGCCCCACATTCTTCATCACAGCTTGGGTCTCGTGCCACGAGCCTCTGTTTCCAATCTTGTTCGTCGATGTGGTGCATGTGCGCAGCATCGGGAATCTCGCACACGGGTGCCGCGTCTCAGCGCCTGGCTCGTGCCCTTATAACATGACACGGTCGCAGCATTGCTTCGAGTCAGTGCCCACCAATGAACCCGCGTGTTTCAACTGCCCAGCCTGTCTTTGCGAAAGTTTCATGTCATTCACAGCGAAACCCTAGATAAACAAACCAGATCAATTTCACCATTTGGTGCGTTGCTGACTGAAGTTTTCAGATAACTAAAATGGCAAGTAGCGACCTTCTGCTTAAAGTACCTCAGAAACACCACTTCGAAAAACTTGGCATTCTATCAACATATGGTTACTATTCAATATGTTTCACCTCACCGCTCCATGAATACCTCACGCGGAGTCTTGTGAGAAGCGGACTTCCTTGAACTGGCCGAAGAAAAACTACAGTAGAATCTCAATGATACGAATATGAAGGGAGCATGCAAAATATTCTTATCATGCCGAATTCGTATGAACCATAAAAAAGTGATAGCAGATCATGAAGATGAACAAGAACCTTCACAAAGTCAACTACTTCTTGCTGAAAGAAGTCAGTGATGTTCTTTTGAACTATGCTGCCTTCACCGTCTCGATAAAGTAGCGTGCTTTCCTCACTCATGCTGCTGGCGCTTAGTAAAGGTGTGTTCACATTTGACATCAGAGGAAGTAAAAGCGGCACAACTCGTTTGAAAATTTATTCTCTTCGTTGCTTAAAGGGATTGCCTACTGTCCTTCACTGTAGTTCTCTTTTGTGTCGCAATAAAGAGCGTACCATCTGAAGTGTCTAATCCTGCAGTGGTTTTCCTGGGAAGAGCATATAAATTCTCGAGACGGAATTTTTCGATCTGCGTTCGGTCTCCGTTCATCAATGGAGTGGAAGCTTCTGCAATGCTTTGCCAGCAGTAGTGAAGCCAGCTTTTGCCCTTCAAAGATGCTGGAAACCTGCTCTTTTCGGTTAATGCTCTCTTGGAGATTGAGTGGCTTTGATCTGTTTGTCTAAAAACTACGTTAATTATAAATTGGAAGATGGTTGTTTCTAATGAAATAACACATAGAGACGAGTACCGTTTACTTAATTTACAAAAAATCTGCCTTGAATTCAAGGCTTACCAAAGAAAACTATTAACATAAAGACGTACCTTGAGCACTTCCTGGCCCGAAAAAGGTTGCAACTCATTGGGTGTGCGAGAAAAGCACTGCTTTTGAATCTCCAAACACCAATAGCTCATCATGCCCCTAGTAAGATGACAGTCGCAGCCGCCACCTTATGGTGGGTACGGCTTCACTCCTGGACAATAATTTCCACTCCACTCCAGCACCGTCCGTAGCCTTCCAACTATTTCACCGAACAGCGCGTTCCCAGGCAGAACACAGCGCACTGTTTTTCGGCAACCTATAACACGGATAAGCAGGGCATGGAATTCTTCTCTACGTTTGCGAATTCCACGATAAACATGCACTAAATTCGATATTCACTCGCCAAAAAAATATGCATGCACGCCGTCAGTCTTGCCTTGTAAGACAACACCAGAAAACTTGGCATTCAAAGGGCATTCAGACGTGCTACTCGTTCCAATGTTTGATACGTGCAGCCACAGACCGCAAGTCCGTCATCCATAAACTTAAAACCACTCAGGAACAACATTGTGTCAGCTAGCATTTAAAGCCTCAAGTTACCTTCTATACAGCTATACGCATGTATTCACGCATGCGCACCTTTGATATTGTTTCTAATTTAACAAAATAACAAAATACGGGAAAAAAGAGGTGATTGTGAGCGAACGAAGTGAGAATACTTACACGTGAAAAGTGATTCCTGGCGTCTTTTTGATACGATTTGTGCAGCCATAAGCGGCGCACGAAGTCACCGTGGCCTTGTAAATTCTGTAACTGTTTAACAAAAGCATGTCACAGTCTTCAAAGGCCACTGCGAGGGCGGAGCTATGAAGCGCACTTTGTTGTCTGCTTCAGAGTCTTTCTTTTTTCAATATGGCGGCAACCGGCGTCACTTATCAGGGTGCACCTCCACCCCAGAAGACGTAATATAAGACCTCCTTGGACTAATAATACAAACAGCGACTATTTGAATTTCCTGTGCACATGTACTAACACGATAAAGAAATGGGAACTGCACAGCATGTAGGCGCTCAGCTGTTCGCATTCATTAAATGCAAAACATTTTTTAGCAAACTTCGGCCCCTTTAAAGGATTCATCTATCTAGCTGCCTACGACTTCATGATTTCCTGGCCTTTTGGCTAATAGGATCTGCTTGAACATTGGTATGGCATAACATGACTGTACTATGAATGTAAATGAGAGGTCATCACATGAAAATCCTGACATGCATGTGATGCTCAGTACAATTTTATGCCATTGTCTACATATACTACAGTTATTATGGCTTGACAAAAGTGCATGGCGAACATGCGTGACTTGTCTTAAAGGGGCCGTGAAACGAAAATGAAACTCCCAGGATGAAATTTTTTTCAGCATCAGTATAGATAATATATATACCGATTTTGAAATATTTCAGCGCAATACCCATTCTGTAATTAATGATACCCATTTGAAATCGCAGTTTTTGGGGGCTCGCTAGCGACCATGCGCGACCATCGGCCACTATAGGCACTACTATGTGATGTCATGACATGCGTGTTATGTAAGAACATGACTACATGCTACGCTCATGATGGGCTCACAGCCGTTTAGCTAGCTTCACATATACCAAGTTTGGTATTACGTGATGCCAATAGATGGCAAAGGTAAATGACACTATCAAACATGATGATCATAATATACGTGTCATGTAAAATATAACTACATGCTACGATCATAGCATGCTTTCGGCCGTTTCGCTAGCTCCATATATACCAGATTTGGTGTTACGTGACGTGAATGGATGACGAACACAAATGCCAGTTGCAACCATGATAATCATGACATGGATGTCATGTACGGCATAATTTACGTCCGCCTCGTAGCGTTGTGCTGATTTTCAAGCGGCATATCAACCTTCCTCATTCGTGTTTCGCATGTAATCGATTCCCACTGTGCGCGAGATCTGCCCTTTTTTACGTTTTTCACTTTGCCATTCCCTGATTACTCACTGACCTAGTATGGTTTCGTTCTGGTTAAAAAAAAAAATGGAACCATAAATATTGCTTGTCGGTCTCTTTAAGGCAGCGACCCCTTAATAATTCCCCACCCGATGCCGTCGATCTTGCTCCGTAACAGACGACACACAGGGTTGCAAAAGGTACGGAGTTATTTTCTCTTGCAACCTGTGCTGTAGCATTTATATTGTGACAGTTTTACCAAAGCTTTCGTCATGATACACAAATCTTATTTATACACAGATACACGTTTTAGAGGCAGTCGCAATTTTTTTTTAGTTCGGTCATCTGGGAACGGCCCGTCCTGTCTTCTAAATTTTACCCGATTATACTTCGTCTGAAAATAGTCATGCTATATATGAACACCTTTTGGAAAATATACAATGCTTCATGCTCTACCGATTCGTATTAAGTTTGGTCTCGAAACTTAGTTGTTTTTTTTTTTTGTACTTTTTATCTTGCCATTAAACGTTTGCCTGTGCTTTGCCAAAGAGCCATTCTAAAGCAAAGTATGTTGTCCAAGATAGTTAGATACTGTTTCGGAATTCAATGCTAGCTGAGGATGACAAGTGGACATTACAAGACTGTTGGCGTTTGCTCGAATCCAGATGCCAAATATTCTGGCATTGTACCGTTGTGTTCTGATGAACCCTGTTGTTATATTGTTGGGTTATAATAGTTGTGTGGTTCTCAACTTTTCAGGGATTGCCGAGTGGTGCGTGACCCACAGACACTCAAGTCCAAAGGTTATGGCTTCGTATCTTTTGTCAAGAAAGCGGTTAGTGTCTTATCTTTCCTTCCACAGCCAAATACAGCAGGGTGGATGGGTGGGCTTGTGGGTATTGCGTATTTGTACAAAAACTTGGGGCACCAATAGAAATACACACGTCAAAAACTGTAAAATGCTCATCACAAATGCTTATGGTGTGTGTTCTCTCTCCTCTGTCTTTTTGTTTACACTCTCAAGTTTTTGTGTGAATTGCTCGCTATGTTTCAGCCAATATCTGTACAGTTAGTCACTAAAGTTTATGGACCACACAAGCACGGGGCCAGGAATCCATTCTACTGCATCAATTAATGGCAGTCAAGCTGCATGCTTTCCTTAATTGAAGGTCTGGTTCAGATTTTCTTTTGTGGTTATGTGCTTCTTGGAAAACACTCCATCAGCAATCCTTCCCATAATGTGGTATCTACCCAATTGCACACCAAGAAAGAATTGCGGTGGGCATACTACATATGCTTCGCATCTGCATAAGCAATGCACTGTGTAGCAGTAGGAAATTGGTATGTTGAAACCCATTCCAACCCAACCCTGTGTTGATGGTACAACACATACTGCTCAGTTGCACGAACAGACAGTTTTAGCACATTCTTGCATGGTTCGTAAATTTTCATAGTTTACTACACATGCCTGACTTTTCCTTTTCTGAAAATTAATTTTAACGGGACCTACAGCTACTCAGAACTTGAGATGGCTGCATTGATGGAAAAATTATCTGTGCTATTGATTCAAACAAACCTTCTTTTTTTTCCCTCGTTGAGATGTGGATCAATATGTATCTTTTCATTGAAAGTCGGGGGAAAATGACCTACGTCTCGGGCGGCAAAAGCATGAATAAAACGGTAAATCGGCCTTGTGACTATTGATTGCTGTATGCAGTTGGCAATCTTTTTGTTATGATTGAAATGTTGTTTGTTTTTGTTAGCAGCACGCATTAAAGTTCCGCTGCCTTCGTGTGACACAACAATCCTCGTCAGCGGCTCTTGAGCTTCTTTTTAGCGTGTTTTTGCAACTTTGCACGCACTTTCCAGGTTGCTAAAATTTTAGATGGAGCGACCTCTTTTTCCACCGACACTACATCTCTGAATATATGTGCACTGCTACTCCGCACGGCCGTGCATATGGTAGTGACGTTTTTGGTGACTTTGGTTGACTCGTGTATAGAGTGTAACAACGCTGGGACAAGTAACCGACGACACAGGTGAAGGCAGCCTTGGCTGCCGGCACGCACAATGCGGTACAAATATAGGGAAGGTGTAAAATGCCACATTGTCTCATTGTATTCGTTATTTTCAAAATAGTTGAAAAGCTCTAAATGAAAATGGTCAAGCATGGAACTCCTACGAAAGCAGAAGAATAATAGCTTTCACAAGTTATGTGAAAGGCTGGTGGCATCGCTATCAATTGTCAGCTTTGCTGGAGGAAAGGTACATCTGTGTTGAGGACCTTTCAGAGCGAAAAAAAAAAAAAAACTGCTTGTAAAGCTACATGTCTTGGGGATTAACTACTGCATCTAGAAACGCTACACATGGTAAGCTTTCTGTTGTGCCGTAAAAAAAGCGAGTTAAGAAAAATCGGTCGTCGGTCAAGATTGGTAGCACAATTCAGCAATTGTGCCTACAAATGCTGTCCACCATATAGGCTAATGTGCTGAGCATGTGAAGGAAACGCTGAGCATGTGAAGGAAAGAAATGGAGGGCTCGTTTCTCTTTGTTAGAAACAGTATTAATGAACAGACAATACTGCCAAGGAAAGTATAGAGGATGGTATTAGTTGTAATGTAAATCTGAAGAAAGAAGGTTTCCGTGGCAGTTTTCTTGTTAATATTATGTGTATAAAATAACCAGCGAGCCCTTAAATCCGCCACTTCTTTCCTTCATTCATAGTAGGTCTCGTTCTGACAGATTTGATGCTTTCCAGGCATGTGCGAGGAATTATTGGCCAGCTGCCAGTCTGTAATAAGGTGACGTGCATGTGACGCCAACAGACGAAAAAGTGTTCCACACTCGCAGTCAAGGCTACTGGCAGCACTGACTGACGCCCCCATGTTTAAATGCTCTTACATGCCCCATGAAATGGACAGGGAGGTAGCCGCTGTGAGCCGAATTGGTAGACCATCGGACGCATTATTCGAAAGTCGCAGATTCAGTCCCTGCCCACGGCACACTATCTTTTCATACACTTTTCTTTCTTCAGATTTATTTTGTAACTACTACTAGTAACAACCGCTATACTTTCTTTGGCAGTGTTGTCTTGCATGTGACATTGCTTGTACACATTATTAGTTGCAAAGGCTAAGTGCTGCTTTTCTGCACGCCTTTGACCGTGCTGCTATCTGCTATTCTTGAAAAATATGCAGGAGGGAGGCACTGCACCACAATGTGCCATTGTACATTTTTTTTTTTGTTTTTGGCAGGATGCCGAGAATGCAATCGGAACCATGAATGGCCAGTGGCTGGGTAGTAGAGCCATCCGAACCAACTGGGCGACGCGTAAACCTCCTGCCAACAGGACCCAGGCTGAAGGTGAGCCTTAAGGGAACGTTCTCTGGCACATTTGTAAATCACAATTTCACGACAGCAAAGGTGTCATTCTTACCATGAGAAGGCATTTTGCGAGAGAGAAAGCACCTCACCACAAGTGGCAACACCAGCTTGGAAGTTCCCACACTAGCTCACCTAGCATCAAATTTTCATAGTGTCTGCTAGATCTTTTGTAACAGTTATTGAATAAAAGTATGTACATTGTAGATTGGTTATGTGGGATGGTTGAGAATATCTGGGGTGGTCACACTACCACCTGAGCCAACAGGAAGCTAGAATCGAACCGTGGTGTTGGTTCCAGGTTTGATTTCTGCGCTATGATGGCTATTAAAGAGGCTTTATTTTTGAGAAATCTTTACAGATTTCCCTTTGGCTTTGTGCTACACAGATTGAGAGCATAAAAAAATTCAAATTCAACAAATCTTGCCAAGATTCGCGACACCAAGCTTACACTCACATGCTCAAGTATTGACATGAAATTCTAATTAGTAGTGAGGTTAGTGACCACAGAAGAATTTGCCTGACCAAACTGGTTTAATATTTCAGTCCAGGGCCTTTCGCAATGGCTTTTCATGATGTTTGCTTTCAGTCGACGTAACCACAAGCACAAAGCCCCTGACGTTTGATGAAGTCTACAATCAGTCCAGTCCTACCAATTGCACAGTATACTGCGGTGGCATCTCACAAGGCTTGTCAGGTATGTTTACCCTGCATCTACTTCCAAGATGACAATTTTCTTATGTCCCTGCTTTCAGAGGAACTAATGCAGAAGACATTTAGCAGCTATGGTGCCATACAGGAAATCCGGGTTTTTAAAGACAAAGGATATGCCTTCATCAGGTAGGTTCCTGTGGTCATAACTTGTCCCAATTTCACTAAAAAATTGTTGCGCTGCAGTATGCAAGAATCATTATGTTCAGCAGTTCTGCACTGTGTTAACTACTTACCCCTACAGACTTTTATTCTCAAGTGAAATTTTCGGATTTCAATTTGGGTGACATTTGTTACTTAGTTTCTTGGCCTAGGTTCATGAAATTTGAAATACGCTCTTCTAATCACATGAAATTGCCAAATTAAAATTTTTGCGAAGCCATCTCTAATAACTTTCATTTTGTATGAATTCACAAATTTCTGACTTGTGGGCAGTGATGAAACGTTATAAGGGGGGGACATGAGACTCGATAGTGAAATATATTAGTATTGGTCCTAGAGACATGATTTTTTCAGGGAATATTTAGCTTTGTACACTGATTGCAAATATGTAATTACATTTCCTTTACATCAGTCGAAAAAAAAGTTTCAACTATTCTTATTTTATGAATTTGGGATGTGTCTTGCATAAAAAGTAATGCATGAAAAGAGCTATAATTGAACCTGTATATTGCTGAATGTTCAAATAGTGCATATATGCAATTTCATGCTAGTATCTAAATTTTACCCAAAGTTATGAAGCTTTTATGTCGCAGTCTCTTAGCTCTGAATTTTCACTGGGGATCTCTGGAACATTTCAAAATTTTACAATGTCCTTAAACATTTTATCAAGGTTTTCTTGCACACTTCAATACCCTAGCATTCAAACAAAAAAAAACATCAAGAAAATTTAATCAGTATTAGCGACACAGTGCTCATCCCAAAATTCAAAACTTGAAAAATCTGTATTTGAGAAAAACGCAAAAAACTGAAAAATTTGTGAAAATGAAAATTTCATGCATGAAAGCCACAGCACTTGTGTTCACAATCACTCGGAAAGCCCCTGCGGAGTAGTCTGAAGGAGGCTTTTGCTTGTGCTTCTTCTTTGTGGTTGCCTGGAACGCTGCTGAAGATGCACGTTTCCTCTCTGAGTTGACGGCACAACGATAGTGTTTCTCAACTGCCCGCTGGTTACCTGTGCATGTTTGATCTAGCTGCAGTTCACGCAAAATAAGCGAACTAGATTCCTTGTTCCCTAAGTTGAAATGCATAACAGCATCTGCCATGGCAGTCTCAACGGCAAACAATGACGCGTTCTTGTCCTTCAGTGAGAGGCTCCAAATGACCGAATGCAAGGCCTCATTCACATTCTGCATGTTCCCTCGGGTGCATCTCTGCAGGAGCTTGTTGTCGGACAAACAGGGCGCAGTACATTGCTCGCAGCCTCTGGCAAATTGTACTTGCTAAGCTAAGGCTTGTAGATCGCTGTGGTTCCTGCGGCGAAACACGCGCGAGTTTCCCCAGTCCAGGCGAGAATTACTGTACAAATCATGCGTGCGGTCGATACTTGATTATGTGAGTAGCGTATGGGACCCGCCCACTGCCCTCGATAAAGATAAATTGGAAAAAGTGCAAAACGTGGGCGCCCATTATGTCCTGGGAAACATTATTAAAAGCCACAACTTCAGCATGACGCGCTGCAAGCAAGCTTTAGGATGGGAACAGTTGGTCACACGCCGGGCTAAGCAGCGTCTGAAGCTTTTCCATGATGTATACTTATCTCAAACTTGTATTCCTCGTGACAGTTACATCTTTCCACCTCATTACGTGTCTGGACGAGTCGATCACATTTACAAAGTGCGGGGTTACCAATGTAAGACAGCGTTCAGTAACTCTTTTTTCCCTAAAATGGTTTCCCAGTGGAATCGATTACCTTCAGCGATCGTTGCCGCTGTTGGTAGTGATTCATTTCTTCCTTTGTTAGAATCAAGTGAATTGTTCAGTTGATGACGGGTGTTTTGTTGTGCGGTATACATATTGTAGTTGTTTTTCTGTATGTTACCCGCTGTCATTTTTCGTACATTTTTGTCAATCTCCATTATGTTGTGTATTCAGTGTACTTCCTACTATCTGGATAGGCTGTACTGTACTTGCCGCAAATTGAGCTTGTGTTCTGTCTTGTAATCATGTTTTATTCCCCCCACTGTAATGCCTTATGGCGCTGTGGGTATCAAATAAACAAATAAACAAAATACGATGTTGCGGAGCGCTACGGCCATGCTAGAACTAAGAGGACAATGATTGTCGGCAAAATGGCATGCCATGCACAAGAGTGTGTGGCGAGTGCCTTAAAAAGACAGTTTTTTGTGGTTGCCACTGACGGCTCGAACGACAGCCAGGTACAGCTGTACCTTATCGTGGCCACCTTTGTGGAAGAATCAGGCCTTATGGAGGAGAGCAGACTGCTTACTTTAAAACAATCTAGAAGGCCCTGCAATGGGGAGGAACATCACCAGGTTATTTATGGGAAGTTGTGTAATTGCATAGCTCTTTGCTCTGACAATGGTAACGTGATGATGGGCCAGAAACATGGCGTAGTGGTAGTGCTAATCGAGGCCTATGAAAGCATTGTAAAAATTGGATGCCCATGCCATTTAATAAACATTGCGGCTGAAAAAGCAGCTTCTTGTCTCCCAACGAAGGTGGACAAAGTCTTTGCAAACATTTTTTTTTATTTAGAAAGAAATGCTAAAAGAAAAAGTTGGCTTAAAAAGTTTCACAAAATGGACAAAAAGGAGTTTTGTAAGAAAAGCATGTTCCAATCCTATGGATTTCACTGGGAAAATGGTTGGAAAGGCTCCTATAAAAGTTCCGCTCTTTTGTGAATTAAGAAACGTTTCTCAAAAAAAGTTTATTCATTTCAATGACCGTGCACCATAACATCTTCAAGAAGCGAAAAGAGATGCCACTACAGCTACCCAAATTCTGACCTACTACGACATTCTCAATACGCCAGCCCAAACTGAAGACACTGAGCAGCACCTGCTTAGATGAAAGAGAGAGGAGTCTGTTCAATCAACACCTGTGCATGTGAGAAAAAAAAAAACGAAGGCTACTGATGTGTGCAAGACTGGATCAACTTGCATAACACGTGAATAATGACTGTTCGTGTTCTTGAGCTCTGAGCTAAGCTTGCTGTCTGTTTTTAAATAGCATTATTCCTGCTTTTGAGGCAGTAAACTGGCACCTGCAAGCATAGGCACACTAATACGCAAGCTACAGCCTATACTCTTGTACCTTCTTGAGGACATCCTTTCAAGGTTAGTGAGGCCAGCACTGCTAAAGCAGCGCAAGGACATCTATTTGGTAGACTACCACCGCACAAATGTGCAAAAGAATGGCAAAGACTTGTCAATTCGACTACAAGCTAGGTGTGTTCGAAAAATGGCAGATCCCACGTATAGTGTGAATCGATGATAAGCGAAGGCATTCGTCCTTCGCTTATGTCACATTAAAATCGGCACATTACGAGGTAGATGTAAATTATGCCGTGCATGACTTCCATGTCATGATTATCGTGCTTGCACCTGGAATTGGTGTTCGCCGTCCATTCACGTCACATAATACGAAATTAGGTATATGTGAAGCTGCCGAAACTGCCGTGAGTGCACTATGAGGGTAGAATGTCATGTTTTACGTGACATGCATGTCAGATTATCATGTTTGGATCTGTCATGTACTTTGTCATTTATTCACGTCAAGCATTACCGCATTTGATATCTGAAGCTAGCGAAACGACCGTGAGCGCGTCATGAGCGTGGTACGCAGTCATGCTCTTACATGACATGCATGTCATGATTATCATGTTTGCACTAGTCATATGCCTTCGTCATCTAATTATGTCCTGTAATACAAAATTTGGTATTGTGAAGCCCCCCGCCGCAGTGGTCTAGTGGCTATGGTACTCAACTGCTAACCAACAGGTCGCGGGATCGTATCCTGGCTGCAGCGGCTGCATTTTCAATGAAGGTGAAAATGCTGTAAATTCGTGTGCTCAGATTTTGGTTGCAGGTTAAGGAATCTCAGGTGGTCATAATTTTCGGAGCCCTCGACTACAGCGTCTCTCATAATCATATGGAAGTTTTGGGACGTTAAACCCCTCATATCATAGTATTGTTAAGCTACCGAAATGGCCGGGAGTGCATCATGAGCGTGGCATGTAGTCATGTTCTTACTTGACATGCGTGTCATGATTATCATGTTTGCACCAGTCGTATACCTTCGTCATCCATTCACGTCACGCAATACCAGATTCGGTATATGTGAAGCTAGCGAAATGACGCGAGCACACCATGAACGTGGCGTGTGGTTATCACTTATATCACCTGTATGTCGTGATTTCCCAGTTAGGGCCTGCCACTTATGTTCTCCATGCAGTCATGTCATACCATACCGGTTTTGCGATATGTCATGTGGGTGAAACCACTGCAGGAGCAGCAAAACTATATCATGTAAATCTGGACATTCATAGCATGACATGATTTTCATGTTATGGCTAGTCACTTATGCTCGTCATACAGTCATGGATCCCATTATGCCAACAGCCAGGAGAGCTAAAAGTCACAGGCGGCTAGATAGATAGACAGACGGACATGCCGACCGACAGATACAGTCAGTCGCCAAAGTTCGCTAAGAAATGCTTTGCATTTAAAACTCAGGCCAAGTGACAAAAAGGAATTTTTTTGAGGCGGCTGTTAAAAGGTCATGTTGCATGCGACTACATGCGCCTCAGATTTCCTTTTGAAAATAATTCTTTGTTCAAGGCACGCATTGAGCATATTGAAGCTATTAATAAGACGTCGTTCTTTGTTGAGCAATTTTCAGCATTATTGCCACAGAAGGAGCAAGGGATCAAGCCATTAAGGTACTGGAAATGGAATTTGTAAATTTGCAGTCTTTCAGAATTTCTACAAATGTACTGCAGGAGCAACCGGCTGATGTGCAGGGGAGAACAATCTTGCTGCTTAGAGGTGCAGATGGACTTCTCGGATTCAGCCACATTGCTTAATAGATGCTGGGAGTTCTTTCAATACCACACAGCAATGCTGAATGGGAGTGGCCATTCAGCATTGTGAAGAAGACTCTCACAGTGTTCCGCGCTTCTATGTCAGAGACACTGGGACAATTTTTTCAGGCCAAATATCACAGGTGTGGACCATGTTATTCGCAGGTCTATTCAGAGCTATTCAGAGCTACACAGCTTGGACTGTTGTTAAATAGTTGCATGTGTGCATACAGAAAATTGGCTTTGTTATAAAGCACCCGGCTAGAAAAATGGAGCGGCTGCTGTGAAAAACTATCCCTAGTGCCTTCTAGTGATCTCCCCAGTCTAGTGCTTCATTTGCGAACTTGGCAGGTATGTATCGCTAGCAGCGCTCGCGCTCCTGGGGAACTGGGCGCTGGCAGTCGCAGTCAATCCGCTTCGGTTGTTCGAATCGAAGTGGTGAAATCAACACGGCCACGTCAGCCACGTCTTACATGTTCTTTGCTACACGGTGAAGCATGGCATTGTGGCATTGCTGCAGCGGCAAACGCATAGACTTGTGAAAGCACCGATTTAAGTCTGTGAAATGGCACATGCAGCTGAGGTGGTGGCTTTATTTATGTAATGATGTTCCAGACTTGATTCAAGCCTATGAAATGGCACATGCAGCTGAGGTGGCAGCTTTATGTAATGTTTCAGACCTGAGACGTAGGTAGCAAATTCAGACAATCGGGCACCAAAAAGTTTCAGGTCTGAAATTTCAGATGTCCTTATACGTAGCCGTCCATACTGTCTGGGATGGTGTCACAGAAGCATCTCAATTTTTAAGCTTGTCTGAAAAATTGGCCTTTGTCTCTATCTGCGATAATTTATGTGGCAGGCATGCTTGTTGCTAGGTGCTCACCAAGACGTTAACGAAATGTTTTATTTATTCTGTAAGCCTTAACAGGCTCTTACAGGTGTGGGTCCAGAAGGATACAGAATGGTTATGGATATGTACACATCTACGGATAAACAGGATTAATATTAATAATAAAAGGTAGTAAAGATCAAAACAAGAAAGGATAACTACACAAACGACTTGATGGGACTACATATTGGAAAAAAAAAATGAAAAAAACACAGCAGAGACTAACAGGAAAAAGCACACATTTGAGGACTCTACGAATGAAAACTGCGCATGGCATAGAATCGGAGAAGCACTTTCCGCGAACAGCTGCGCTGTTATATACGACGTCGCTACTTAATATATCTCAAGATCGGCAGCGAATGAGTGAGCAGATTCTGAGGACACTAAACCACGTGGGAGATTATTCCATAGTTCAGTGACCGATGGAAAGTAGGAATACCTAAATGTATTGCAACGGGGGATAAAATGCCTGATACTCCTGTTGTGGTTTGTTCTTGCCGAGCTCTCATAAGGTGGTTTTAAGCACTCGTGCTTGTTTATATTGATGCAGAAATTTTACTGACAATACAGTGACCAAATACATCCCATTTAACTCTGGAATTAACAAGTCCAGAAAACATTCGGCTGTGTGAGCATGTGGCAAATGCAGCAAATCTTTTTGTGCTTCGGACAACACTTATGCTGGAATAGCGTGCAGCACATCCTGCTTTTATCGATCGTCATTCATGAACTTAGTAGGTATCTTGAAATTGCTTCTAGCAACACCTGCCCCTAAACAGCATAAGCCAGTATCATCACTGAAAATGTGAAAATTGCCGGGGCATTCATGCCGAATAAACCAAGCTTCGTACCACTGATCGTAAGATACATTGCCCGTGTATGCACTTCATCTCTTTGACAACAAGTATATGCCCAAATTTGCATATTTAGGCATTACAGAGCGCATGGTAAAGTGCTTGCCTCGAACTTGATGTCATACGATGGTCGCTTGCACTTAAACTGCGAGTTGCAGCATGCATTTTAGCGTTGTACCTGCAGTTTGCTTCGATGAGCTTCCTGCTTTTCTGAAGCAAGGTCAGATTAACAGAAGCAGCTTGCCAGTTCCTTGAGTTTCAGTAAACGGCGCCTAAACACTAATAAAAAAGAAAGGCCTATGCACGTTTGCTTTCGGACGCCTTTTTTTGCGCAGCCCAGTTATGGCCAGCGCAGTGATGGGGGCAGGGCGTTAGTGGCAGCATTTTTCCAGCACCGCCTGGAGTCTTACGTCTATGGCACACTCATGCTCATTTCCACTTGTTAGTCAACACATGTAATACATAGCCACCTCTGGAGAACCACCAAAATGTAAGTTTGGCATCGAAATTTTCTCAAAGAAAAAAATTTCACTAATTTGTTCAAACTTCTATGTCGGCTCTATATCATGTTCTCCAGAGGATGTTCAGTGCGCTACTACAAAAATGAGTAAAGTCTGATTAGCAATTGTCTTCCTACATTTGTATTCCACCATGGGTACAACACATTCATAAGGTTTAGTTGTGCATATATTCACTTGAACTAAGCATGGTTGTGTAGCCTAGTGGTCTAGACACCCGCTTACGATGCATTAGGGCACAGTTTCAAATCCCAGCACCAGAAAATTTCTTTTTTGTTTGGTTATTTATTTATGCTGGATAATTTATCTGTCTGACCCGCCGCACTTGGCGCTACAAGCAGCGCAGTAGCTTGGCCATAAAGCCCTACTAAAATGTCTGCTACTTACGTAAGTATGTCTGTCTATGGAATCACTGTCAAGATACTGGAGTTCTTTGTTATTCAGAAACACAGATGGCACACTCATACACTGATCAGGACGAAGAGTTAGACTTCAAACGCTTCAACAATTTCGCACTGCTTCTGTATATCTACCCTTGCAGTCACCAAAAACATTGCTGAATAGAGGGTCGCAACCATAGGCCTTGCAATGAATCAGTAGGTTTCCACCCGTGCTTGTAGGAAGTAAGTTGGTGTGCTCACATATCCTATCATTAACACACCTTCCCGATTGCCCAATATAGTTTTTACTGTACCACCACTAACAGTTCTTGATAATGAACTATTTGTGGCGGTTCAGGAACTTGTGGAATGAAACAAGGAGACAGCTTTTCAAAGTACTTGCAGCCTGTCAACGAACAGCTTCATGGAAGTTGAGAATTATGAGACATCATAGTGGAAGGCTTCTGAAATTTAGAACATCTGGTGTTCTCTAACAAGCACTGACATCACTCGCTAAGGAATGCTACCGATGCGCCAATTGCACCAAATTGTGCCAAATCGCCCTGGCTGCTACACGCTGCTACATTTCCTCAAAATTTGGCGATTCTACCCAACCTGTGCCAAAGGGCGTGCTCCGACTTTCAGAAACTAAACTACTTGAGGTTCTCCCGTTGAAAAATGACATCGTGGTGCATCTGCATAAGAGGCAATCCAAGCCAAGCCAAACTGGGCCAAATCTCGCTGTTCGGACTATGGATGGTTGTGACGCAGTGAATGGCTAAATTTTCCAACTTTCTAGGAACCGGTAAATTGTCCGAAAAACTATTCGGGACTTTTTATTCCGCTCAAGTAATCAAATCGCCACAATCCCGTCTGAAATAGCTTCACTGCCTCCTTGAGTACACTTATCAGGCATTTCGGTGCACGCTCAGGCTGTTGTAAATACCCTGCCGACTTCCATGTCCAAATAAGCGTCGCGTGTTGAGCGCTGCCGATACCAGCAAAGCGTGAAATAAGTTGCGGATTTATTGGATGGAGCGTGTGGAAATGATGATGCAGAACATAAAAAATGTGGCCGAATAGAGGTTTACATTTAAGTAGTTGGTCAAAAAAAGACCACATTGTGACCGGTTCTGCACCATAGAGGGCTACATAAACTGCCTGCACTGTACTTTATCAAATGCATACAATAAAACCCGATATCATGTGGCAGAAATAATAGCCAGGAGGGTATGGTCTTAAGAAGCAATCAAAACTTTTTGCGCAGGTTTGGTACGAAGGAGGCTGCAACACACGCCATTGTGGCAACTCACAATTCGGATGTCAATGGCCAGACAGTCAAGTGTTCCTGGGGCAAGGAGGCTACTGACCCCAACAACCAGCAGCAGCCTCAAGTGAGTCCAGGAGACAAGCATCCCTCCTGGCCAGAGCAGCGCAACCCTTCCGCCGGGGTGATCACCCTTCACCTTGCCCACTGGTGGTGGAAGAATGCATTCTCTGTCACCAATCTGTTCATCTTGAACCAGCATTTTTTGCTTCTTGAAGTTGTGTTAATTAAGCCTTGATATGACCAAGCCATATTACCTCCCAAGTGGAAATTCTTAACTGGTAATCAAACTGGTTTGAACTGGTCCTAGTTCAACTGGTTTAACGAACACTTTCCAGTTGGGACCAGTTGCCAATTGGGAATGCATTCCCAGTTGGCAACTGGGACCAGTTGCCAATTCCCAGTTGGCTACTGGGACTAGTTGGGATTGAATTGAAATATTCCCAGGGGGAAACAGGTCCCGTTTACAGTTGGTGCTCAAATGTACATGGAATCCAGCTATCTCAAATAATCTTGAACGTGCAAATAATTATCATTCTGAGAATATCATACTCCAATGGATTCAGTGTTAACTGTAGAAGATTATTATGATTTATTAGCATTAAAAAAATGGTACACTGTGCCCAATAGGCAATTGCTGCTGTGTATATTGAACCAGCACTGTGGTTGCACATACAGTGCAAAGCTTGTTCCGCTTGGCTTTCATTTCCTGAAGTTTTGTCCTGAAGTTTTGTGCTGCGGCTGATGCATCTGTGCCATTCACCCGTCACCAACGGGGGAGCGTTACTGTAAAATACAATATTTACTCTAATGTAACGCGGCCACAATTGTAACGCGAGGGGTGACTTTTTAGTGCTGTAAAAAAAATGTAACGCGAGTAAAGTGGGGGAAAAAGTACCTTTATTTGCTGCACATGGTAGTGGCAAAGGCATTCCAGTTTCTAAATATGAAGTTAATTTGTCTCTTTCATCGCCATCATTGCCGCTGGTCGAGCCCTCTTGGTCACTTTGTTGCTCCCAGATGACGTCATCCTCCGTGCCATCCATATAGTTCGATATGCACCACTTTTTAAACGCGCGAACTATCATGTCATGCTGCAAGCCATACCAAGCTGCGAACACTTACTCGGCAATCTTCGCGGCGCTAGGTCGCTTTATTTTACCCGTAAGTGTCAAAGCCCAATCTTCTTGCAGCCATTTTCCGTACAGTTGCCGCATTCTATCCTTAAATGGTTTGTTCAGGCAGACGTCTAATGGCTGTAGCAAGGACGTCATACCTTCAGTAATAATGGCGAGCTGCGTTTCCCGCATCAGCTTCTTCACTTCGGGCGTCAGGTGACCATGAAATGAGACGAGAACTAGGACTGACGCGGAGTGGAGGAGCGCACCTGGCCGTCGGCACCACACAGTCTTGACCCAGTCAAGCATAAGCGGAGTGTCCATCGAACCTTTTTTTAGGCAGCGGACAATCACATCCCTGGAGAACACCTCCTTCAGGATGGTTTTGAGTCGTAAAATGATGTATGGCTGCAACTTGCACCCATCCGCCAAGCAGATTAGCATAACGGTTAGGCGTGTCTTCCCGTTGCCTGTTGTCCTTATGCGAACTTGGGGGGGCACCTGTGTCGCTGACAGTCCTTGACATAGGCATGTCCAAGAAAACGGGAGTCTGGTTCATGTTGCCAATGTGCCCCAACGGCATTTGCGACGAGTCGCACAGGTCGAGCACAAGCGCGGAAACTTCACTAGCTTCGCTTCGCAATCTGCTGGTAGCTTTTGTCTTATCGACGTTGTTTCTTCAACTGTGTTTATTTTCCACCGCATGCGTGGTCACGTAGCGGTACATCGGGCCGCAAGGCGGTTTCTTTATTTGCATGCTTATAGGTGTGCCCATTTTAGCATACATTGCCACAAACTGTTATAATCGATATAATGAAACAATGGATATAATGAAATAATTGTGGCTCCCCTTCAACTTTGTTACGTGGTTTGAGTGTACGTACAAGTATTGTACAAGCTCGTTTCCTACGAAATGCAGGCACAAATTTGCAAGCACAAGTTCATACACAAACATATTACAGTCGAACTCTGCTACAACGAACGCCGCTTCAACGAAATTTCTGCTACAATAAAAAATTCACGATTCCCCGTCAGCAGTCTATAGGAATCAATGCATAAATATTGTAGCGACAACGAACACTTTTTCTTCGATCGTCCCACTTTGACATATTATAATGCGATTCCAAGCCCAGATACTTCTTGCTATGCAGTAAGCTCAATCTTTAACATTTCAATGCGTTTCAGAGCGTGAAAATGCATCAATCTAAAACACGCGTTGGCACCACCAGAAACCGCCGCTGTTCAGCAAGCATGGGTGCTGCCATTGCTCGATAGCGATGGCAATCAGTGGTGTTGACTTTCTTTTTTAGCAAAGTCATCAGAACGCTTCAGAAAAGTCGCTAGTTTTAGGCAAAAGTCTAAACAATGATTATAACGCTTTTTTCCCGATTAGTTTTTTACTTGATAATGCACCGTGCAGAGATATTTTTTTATTTCAACAATATTTCAAATAAATTTTTGTTGTGGCGAATGAAGTAGGACTACGCTGCTACCTCCTGGCTACGCCACTGTGAACCAGTGAGCAGCTGTAGTCCACCCCTTTGCGGTGAACTGAGAGCAGTTCGGAGTCGCTTTGCCCACCTCCAACTGGAACAGAACGAGTGCTCAGATTGTATGCAGTGTGATCTGAGCAGTAACACAGCAGTTTGATCGCTGTTTGATGTCTGTTTTAGAACACTCTACCTTAATTTTTGAATGGCTCCAAAGAGATAGAATTGTCTCTAGCACGACTGAACAGACGCTAAATTAAGCAACTTTCTCGCTAACACCACAACAGCGTTAACACCACTGATGACTGCTTTTGTTTTCCCACTTGCTTGCTTTTGAGCCGCAAATGATGCGAAGCTGAAGCTCAGTCGCTCAGTTCATGGTTTCCTCTTTCCCGATTCGGATGCTCATCATTATGTTCGCGCTTGGCCTGTGTGGTAACTAATCAGAGCGTCTGTTCGTCCGCATTATCAACAAAATATGGATAAGAATGGCATATAATCATGCAAAAGTTGCTGCTCCATGATACCCTGCCTCCATCTCAACGTTGTCGGATACTTTTGACGGCGGACAGCTGCTGGTGTTAACGTGTTAATGCAACTGTTTGGTTTGTTCGCGAAAGCGTTTTTAGGCATTGTTTCAGCGTGCTTTTCACCATGGTCTCGCTATGCATGGGTGAGAATCGCATCGCGACGCTGCTGGGAAAGAATAGGAAGCAGCGGACATTTTTTTTAATTTTGAGAATAAACGTTCCTTTGTTAATGTAAGCTCAGATCAGCTGTATTTTTGTTTATTTCCCTACAATGAAATTTTCGCTTCAACGAAATTTTTCCACCCCCCGTGAGTTTCGTTGTAGCGGGGTTCGACTTTAAAGGGGCCCTGAAACACTTTTTGAGCATGGTCAGAAAACGCTGCCAATCGGTAGTACAGGTTCCATCGGTAGTACAGGTACAACTTGCGAGCCAAATATTATAGCGCAGCTCGCAGCCTGGAATTCGCTATAAATTATCAAGGTCAGCTAAAAATAGCTTTCTCTTCTCTCAACAAATTACGGAATAAGCCCAAAAATCACTCGTAGTAATCTCGTTTATCAGCCATTGGCTGATTTGAACATGGCGCGCTTCGTTGTTACAGAAGTTGCTGCGAGAGGCCGTCACTTGTCCATGCGTATGCGCGCGATCGCACTGATAAAGCCGCGTATTCGGGAAAAAAAAGTGCTCAAAGTCGCAAGGCACGAGTGACATTTTTTGTTTGCCCCTCTCATTTCTCCCTGCTTAGCTTCCAGCGCTTTTGTCGGGACGAGAGAAGAGAGAATGCGATTGCAGCGTGTGAAAAATCTTTAACTCCGCTCGTACTGGACGGATTCTTAAAATTTTTGCAGCATTGAATGTGTGGAATAATATGCTTTTCTAGTGAATTAATCCTATAGTTACTCAAAAAAGTGTTTCAGGAGTGCTCTAAAGAACAGTGTCGAAGGCATTTGTTTACAATTAAATGTTCCATTGTCTCAGCACTCAAAACATTCTGTGCAAGCTGCATTACATCTACATCTGCTCCAAGACACTAAGGCAACTAGCACTCGAAGCTTATAAGTAGTGTAATTACCTTCAAACGGCTGCATAGCTGAGAAGACGCAGGCAGTGCAGCATTCCGCACACATTGAATCAATGTATACGTCTTGTGGAACGGGAAAACAAGTCTTGTGTGACGTTCTCCTGAAGTTAAAGTCTTCCAGAAATGTAACTGTCGAACACTAATTTGACAAACTCTAATTTATGCACTCCATGACTTCACATTTCTTCTCAAAAGCAGCACAACTCAGCAGCACGTAGACCGCTCGGTAACTAGCCCTCGCAAAGTAGTAGGTGTTCTGTGCCCTCGCCACATGTGCGGTACGAAACTAACATCGCGCTGTGTTCTGAAATTATCCGTGTTCGTTATCAGATTTTTTTGTGCTATAGATATTGTGGAATAGACCAAAATGCGTTTATTTTATGTGTAATACTTATCTTTGATTACTTTACTGCTTGAACATTCCAATGTTTGAGCCTATGAGGTACGGAATTAATGTGACGTCTGTCGCTGCAGCAAAGGTGGACTTGTGCGACCGTGTTTGTGCAACGTTTGTGTGAGCAGAGAGTCAACTTGGTGTCAGCTGAGCTGTTGTAGCTCTCGGCAATACTCTATATTTTGTCGTTGCATGGAAATAATCACAATGTTGCACTCAACTCTATCAAGCAGGCATGCTCCCAACGAAGCAACGACAACATTAACACCCCGAGATCAATCAGGCCGCGACAGGCGTAATAGATTGACAACAGCTGCTATTTAATATTGCCACAAGCATTATTACGTGGTAAAAAGACGATGAAGCATAGCGCACGAAAGAACATGATGCCTTCGCTTTGCCAGTGAGCGGACTAGCCTGACGTTCGGCAGACCTTCAGTTACGGGTTTCAGCACATTATAATGTGACAATATTGGTTGAAAGTACTGAACGTAGTTGATCGAATGTTTAAGTGCATTGTGTATAGCGCACCTGTGCAACGAAATAATCCACGATAATAAATACACATCAGGTCAGGTTAGGCCGTTGATACCTATATAAATAAGCGAAAAGGATGAAGTCTACAAACAAGGAAAGATAGCTGCTTCCAAAAATTAGAAATTTGTTTTTCTCCATCACAATAAGTGCCGGTTTTATGGCCAATCTCCCGTGGTGGGTACGAGCCAAGACATATGGGAACAAGCAAGCAAGCTGCTTCCAGTTGAGCTGGTCATCCTGTTGTTGAGCAGTTGAGTACTGAGACCAACTGCTAACCGGAACCAATTGCAACTATAATCAACTGAGACCACAGTCGAGTTGTAACTGGTACCAATTGCTAACTGGAACCAGTTACAACTGGTATGAAGTGGGACCAGTTACTTCTCAACTGGGACCACTTGCTAACTGGCGCCAGTTGCAACTGCAATCGACTGGAACCAGTTAGTTTTAAACTGGGGCGAGCTGATACTACTTAATACCAGTTGAAACCAATTGAATTCCCAGTTACACATTTTTACCTGGGCTTGACTGACGTATGGGTGATATTAGTGCTCAAGTTGAGTTGCTAGGACCCATAGGTCATCAAAAAGTGTGGTGCTCATTCAATTTCACCCAAGAAATTCATGTTTTGCACTTGGGGCTCACTTTGACTTGAAACTTGCCAAAACTTCTCACGCAGAGCTTGGTCTCAGCGAGTTTTCTGGCCTGTGGTGCTTGCCAGGAAACAGCAGTTGTTTTTCCCCGACCCCTCCTTGTGTAGCTTCCTGCTTTGTCTAGAAGAGAGAAAAGTGCAAATCCCTGTAACTCGCCTCATACTCGACTCATTTGAAAAGTTTTTGCAGTTCAAGACTCTATAAATTCCTGAAGTTGAATCATTCGAGGATCGCATAAAATAGGTTACACTTCTTTAAAATTTATTACTGGAATGCACTCACCAATGACGAAAGCATCTGTTCTCTCTGGTACTTTACTCGGAAAGTTTGGCTCCTTTCAACTTCGGGTCACAGTTGACAATTTGTCAGGGACGGTGAAGGGACTTATAAGCAGAGGTGTGCATATACAAAAAGTTTTGAATATTCTTCAAATATTGCAATCATAATATTTGTATTTGAATCAGTAACCACGTGTTTGAAAAGTTTCGAATACTTCAGTTTATTCTTTTTGAATAAGCTTACCGTAATTACTCGAATCTAACGCGCACCTTTTTTCCGGTTAAGCGAGTTCATAAGTCGCATGCGCGTTAGAATCGAGTACGAACAAAAAAATTACGGTCAATCTATTGGCATCGGCAAATCCGAAATGGCCGCCCCCTACGTGCGTCGGCATGGCGCGTCGGCCATTTCTGTCTATGTGTTTCCCATGTGCGGCACTTCGTACGTGTGCTGAGAAGTTCGTCATCTAGTAGTGCATTAGCATCGACGGCGTGGAAGGGCCTACTCCAAAAACTCGAGTGCACCACGATGCCGCTTTTGAAAGAAAAGTCATCGCGTGTGCAGAAACGGACGGAAATCGGGCCGCATCGCAGTCGTTTGGAGTTCCCGAAACGTGCGTGCGGGACCGGCGGAAACAAAAGCAGAAGATTGTCGACAGCAAAGCTTCACGCAAATGCTTCAGTGGACTACAGCAGGGTTGTTTTCCGCAAATTAAAGAGCTGCTCGGCGAGTATGGTCTTGAGCAGCGAGCGGCACAGCGGCCCGTGACGACAGAACTGCTCCAAGTGCGGGCTATGCAAAGAAAAAGGACTAATGCGAAGCCAGTTTAAAGCGAGCAGGTGCTGGCTAACTAACTTTATGAAGAGGAAATGCTTTTCCCTCCGAAGGGAAACATGCATATGCGAAAAGTTTTGTGGAGAAGTACGATGAAAAGCTTCACAGTTTTCAGAGGTTCGTCCTAAACTTGCGGCGCAACAATGGCTACCTGCTTGGGCAAATTGGGAATGCCGATCAGACGCCTCTTTACTTCGACATGCCTGGCACCACAACTGTCGAGAAGAAGGGGGCGAAGCAAGTTCGCGTGCTGACATCGGTCCACGGTAGAACTACAGTGACGGCAATGCTCTGTTACACGTCAAATGGGCACAAGCTTCGCCCGTACCTCATATTTAAATGGAAGACGCTCCCGAAAGGAGTCGTTTTTTCGAGTGGTGTGATCGTGCGGGCCAGCGAGAAAAATGGGTGCGCGTTGCAATCGATGTCTTACTTTTTTTTTTTTCTTTTTTTTCGCGCTGGAAATTCGGTGCGCGTTACAATCGAGGGCGCGGTAGAATCGAGTAAATACGGTATGTTACTGTAAAGAACTTTTATGCCTTTATAATAAGTGCAGCAATGGTAAGCGATGCAGTGATTACCGCGACTTCAGAGCAAGTGCTATGATGTATGCACAAAAATACACGAGAGCATGATGATACTTACTGACAAACGCGCCGTCACGTCATCAAGCAAATGTACAAATCATGAACTACCTCCTTGGCAGTATGTGTGGCTTTGCAGTTTACAGCTGTTACCGCTTGTGCAAGTGTACCAAGTACACTGCTTGCTTTCATGCTATTGTGCATGCGACTTCTTCAGTAAAGTGCGCATCATTCGTGGAAATGAAAGCAACTTGCTGCCGCCGCATTGGCTCAACATAATAATCTTTGCCCCTTTGCGCAGTATGGTGCTGATCGAGCACGAAGGGAATGTTTCTGGACAAGGGAAAATACACGCGTATGTTGCAGCAAGCGACACTGATTGAACTTAGTAGCAGCTACACTGCACGTAACTAGCTAAGAACACTGGGCTTGACGATGCAGCAGGGAACAAATACCGATTTCACCCGCCTAAATAGTACCGTAAGAAACTACTGCCCCATAGAGGAGCAGCGCCTGAGACTACATGCACTCAAGTTTTCGTGGCGTACAAAGTGCTATTGGATTGCAAAATTTAAAAAGTAATAATTTATAAAAAAGTTTGAGCGCTATCTCTTTGATACTTTTACACGAACATTATGGAGACATGCTGAGTATTTGTGTTAATTTTCATCAACTTCTGTAAAGTTTTAGGAAAGCTTTCTACCCTAAGCCAAATCCCCCCCTAACAGTTTAATTGACAACAAGTGTCTTTGTAGGGCATATGAAAGATATTGTATTGCTTTTGCACAGTATATTCATTTCTGCCAAGAAAAATATTATGAACTGCAAAACTATGGAAGAGACCATGAATGCCTTGACTTTCTCTGTGTGCCTTATGAAGCATGACCCACCATTCTCAATTTTATAGGAAGTGCTGAAGGTCCTTCTCTTGCCTAGATATGGATAGGCTTCAGTAGAACGAGGTTTCAGTGTAAACAAACAGATCGCAATTGATAATATGGCCGTGGATATCTTTCAAAAAGTCATCCGCAATGCCACGAAAACCCACTGTGGACTGCTTAATGTGACACCGTTGAGAGAACTGAATTCATCAGTGCACCAAGCCAGGCATAGATATGTGTTGCATGTAGAAGAATAAAAAGGCAAGCTGTGGCACAACAGGTAACCTTGAAAATTAAAGAACTTGAGCTCAAGCTACACGGCATGCAAGAGAGGAAGACAAAGCTAACAAAACCCTGAAACAATTGCTGGAGTCAGCCAATCACTTTTCGGAAGATGCCAAAGCAAGAAAGAACGCGACTTTGTTTTGTCATGGCCAACAGTTTTGTCGAACACCTAAAGTAAAGAGTTTGAGCTAGCTGCTATTGGGAAAAAAAAAATTGTGCGAAAGGAGAGCTTCTTTCCTTAGCCATGTAGGAAAATAAAATTACGTTAGCACCCCTTGAACTTCTCTTTTTTGCATCCTTGAACTTCTTGAAATGTCCTTAACTTTCAGCCAAATATTGTGCGCGAAGCGTGCTTTAGAAAGCTCTCGCATTTGTGGTCAGTCTGCATTTAAACCATATTGTTTGCAGAATCTGGCTACCCAGTACTCATACCCATACCAGCAGATGGGCTACTGGTACCCGCAGGCGGGATACCCACAAGTCCAAGGACAGTTCATGCAGGGTGTCCAGTACCCCTACGGACAGTACTATGGACAGGGCTTTGGGTGAGTCTGGCCAAGGAATTATTGTTGCTTTCTGACAAGTTCTGCATGCAAGTTGTATTTGGTGGGCTGTGTTCTGTGGTTGTGAAGCAACAAATGTGTAATGCTGTATTTATTTCCTCAATTTTTTTTTCTTTATTTCCTGCATAATGATTGCACCCGAACATGGCCACAAGCCAAAGTGTGGCCTCAAAAATATGTATATGGAATTATAAGGTAGCTACTCATACGATGTATTAAAAACAGATGTTGGAACATGCAGGTACTAATATAAAACCTTCAAGATCTATATCTGTTGCCTCTGCCTTTGATGTTACTCCACCTACACCAATTAGAGACTTAGCATCAGCCAAGGGGCCACGTTATGAACCCAAAGTCATCAAGCTTCGCTGTTGCTTTAGGTTTGCGTGGCTAACTTTCTCTCTCTCTTTTTTTTTTTTTTTTTTTTTTTTTTTTTGAAACGCTCCACTGCTTGGCGTCCCCTCTACCTTTGTAGTACCTTCATTTCTCCCCTGCCGACGTACCTGTGTTGAGAAGCGTGGTCATTATCTCTCTTTTCTGAGCCGCATTATGACTAGTTTTTCATCTCTAGGACTGCGCGGTAAGCGATATTGGTCATTCTACGCTAGACGTCTCCGCCATTCTGGCGGCCATCTCAAGTGTATTTGAAAATAATCATGCGGATTTACGGCATTGAGAACAGTGAATTGCTAAAATGTTTCAGACAGAAAAACAAAATTTTTTGGTCATGTAGGTAGGTACCTTCTGAACTCAGAATGTCGGCTGAATGTTGTTTGGGAAAACATTTATTCTAAAAGTACCACTCTTTTTTTCTCTACCAAGTTCGGTCTGCATGTTAAGTAAAGGAGCTTGTGTAGTTTGAATCTCAATAATAATAATGCAATTTTTCTGCCACATATGCCTCCTAGAATTTCACCAAAATTTGTCGTGTTTGCATTTATTCTACCGCAATATTGCACTTTATATGGATATCCAAACCTGCCAAGTCTTCCGGATTGGCCGGAAGACTCCCAGATTTTGACCTTTTTTCCGGTTGTACGGTTGTCATGAAAATTTTTCGGAAATCGAAATTTCTGTGCGTGATCTGGCCGCATTGACAGAAAAGCAACTCAATCCGCTCCACGCTTTTCGAACCTACCCCATTTTATTATGAGTTTAAGAGGCGTTCATGTGAACGTACAGTATAATCTCAGTGATGCGAAACCACGGCAGATACGAATTCTTGAAATTCCCCAGCCAAATTTTACCATGTTCATTGGGCCTCAATTCGAATGTTTCGAACACATTTTCTAATCGCGGCGGGTGATACGAACTTTAGTACAGAAACCATTGAGAAGGCCGAGAGCAGCGTACTCGAAGCTTCGAAAGTACGCGTGCGACCGGCGCACGCCCCGTCTTCTACAGAGTGTTTGATTGTCGTTGCCACACCCGCTGTGGACGAAACCGCGGTCGCTCTTGACACGATCATGTGTGGTGACAACGTAACTGACAGAACCCCGTAAGTGTGTGCTCGACCAGTCAAAGCAACGCTTTGAGTGTGTGAGTCTGTCTGTCTGTCTGTCTGTCTGTCTGTCTTTCTGTCTAGCCGCCTACGTCTTTTAGCTCTCCTGGCCGTTTTGATAATGGTATCTATACCAAACCTGGTATGGCATAACATGACTGTATGAATAACATATTTGACTAGTTATAACATGAAAATCATGACATATATGTCACTGTCATGATTTACATTTCATGGTCCTGTAGCTGTTGCGGTGGTTTCGTTCACATGGCATGTTGAAAAACTGGTATGGTATGGCATGATTGTATGGCAAACACAAGCGACAGACCCTAACATGAAAATCATGACATGCATGTCATGTAACAACATGACTACATGCCACGCTCATGATGCGCTCACGGCAGTTTAATATGGAAAGGGCGACTTGCCTCACATTTTTGTGAAAACTTCTCTAATCGCGAGAATGAATTAGTCTTATACCCCTGTCACACGGCCACTTAAGAGTCTTTTAAGTAAGCGATCTTTTTCCGAAAAGGAGTTCCTGACAGCAGACACACTGCACAGAGCGAATTCCTTTTCAGAACAAAAACAAGCATGTCACACAAAAAAAGAAACGCGTGGGGATGATTTCATGCCATAAAGTGAAACAGGGCCGTCGTGCAGTAGGTTGAGTGATTCTTGTGATGACGCATCACAGGGCGTCTCCGACGTGCCGTTAGCTACATTGTTAGCGTTCAACGAAGTGATGAACGTTCTGTTGCCTTCCACGTTTCGGCGCCAAGATATTGTTCAATGAGATGACCCGCGAACTCTGCGGACAAAACTCGTAGATGTCATAAAATAAATAAAATCGTAGATGCCATAAAACAACTTAGTTTTGAAGGCGCGTGCGCAGCCAGGCGCATAAGGATTAGAAAATGAGCTACTGTTTGCCGCAGCCGCCGCGCACAAAACCGCGGTCACTGCGACGCGATAGGGATCTATGAGCTCCGAGGGTACGCAGCGGTAAGGTAAAGACAGTAAATACGTAAAAAAACAATAAGAAGTTAGTTTCGCCGCAAGGGCGAAGCAATAAATGTGACAGCAACAACTTGGAATTTAACGCTGAGAACGTCGAGCAGATCGAAACGTGTGGTGTGCTGCTAACACACAAATGATGCACGAGAACGATACTCGCAAGACATGAGCGAACAAACGTTCACCGCTCGACACGCAACGCGCTGTTTAAACAAAAACGATGCACAATATGTAATCGCAGGTACAGATGAGTACAAACTAACAAGTGTCCCAGTTGCTATACCTCGCTGTGTATGAAAAGCACGCTGTTTTCGCAAAAGGGGCCTGCGTGTAGAGACCAAAGTGACCTTTGTGCGCCCGGCAACTAACGTTTTCGTTTCAGTGAAAGCCGCCCAAGGCACACGATTCTCCCCGATTCTCCCGCCACAGGATAAGCGCTCTCGCACAGGCATCTATCCATGGGGCAAAGTACACGTGAGGGATAAGCACGCATCGGTGCATCGCGACGAGCTCGGCGGCGAGCGCGGGCGGCTTTTTTTCTTTCAGTGTTCATATATATATATACATATACATATGTATACATATACTGTGAAGGACGGCAGCGGAGGCGACGGCAAAAAAAAATAAAAAAACAGCCTAGATCTCGCGCTTTTGCGGCAGCCAGCTGTGCCGTCCCGTCCGTTCACGTGTGTCCCAAGAAGACACACGCGAGTTGTTTTCACTGAAATAGATTCTGCTAGATGTGTTGATCCTTTGAGACTCTCACCTTAGTGAAAAACTCTACCCTCGTCTGTTGGGCCACTCCTAGCCACTAAAAGACAGCAACGCTTATGTTGGCACTTGCAATTGAGGACCCTCCTCCCTGCCCCATTGCAGAAATCTCCCGGATTCAGAATCCTTGAACTTGGCAGGTATGGATATCTGAGCAATGAATATCTTATGAACAGAAGGTATATTTTGTGGAAAAAATACAGTTCGACCTCTCAATATATTTTGTGGAAAAAATATAGTTCGACCTCTCAAGTTAAAGATTACAAGAAAAAGCACGAATTCTACAATATCTACATTTTTGTTAATATTGAGACGTAATTTGCATCATGTGGTGGTCCAGTTAAACATCACCTTGATACCTAACCCTAAAGCAAATAAGCAGTTACTTTTATGTTACAACTTTTATTATTACAGTTTTGTTTTAAGGAAGAAAATATTTTTTTAAGTTTATCTTCTTCCCATTTCGTCATACGAGAGCTTCCGCCTTCAACTTCCCCATTGCCGTTAATGGGGAACCAATAAAGTTATCATCTTTTCGGCTTAAAGTGATTACTTTGAATTTGAAACCGTTTACCATACTTATTCGAATATAGGTCGACTTTTTTTTTTTTTGCGAAAATATAGTTCATAACCAGCTATCGACCTATAATCACGATCAAACCAACCAAAAACGCCGAGCTTATGGCGTTCAGCTGCCACGCCCGCTGTTCTTCAAGCGGTTCCTACTGCATACGCACGTTATACTGTCGATCCCTCACAAATAACGGCCCCACTTGAAACGAACTTTTGCTTAAAACGAACAATATCCGTGTGACCGTGAAAATATACGTTTGTTCAATGGTACAAAATCGCACCTATAACGAACATCTCCGAGTGCCGCTGATCGGTTACAGCGAACGCAGTCATCGGTCTGCCAACTTCCTGGGAAACCAATTTCGACCACCAATCGGGCATCGGCAAGGTGCCCATACACTCTTATTGTAAAACGCCGATTCTGCCTCCGCGCCCCTCTAGTTGCCTGCCACTCTTCCCGACCGCTTTTTGTTACGCACCCCTCCGTCCTTGTCCCCCGCTACTCTGAGCACCCGGCATCGCCAGACGAGGCCTGTGTTTTCACACTGCCATCAATCTTTCGAAGACCGGTCGGCCATCTACCTTGTTTTTCATTGCTGGTACTGTCGTTGGCGTCGCCAGCCTGGAGTGACCAGACCATTTGCCAACATCATCGGCCACCGACTGTATCCGATAGTCTGCGTCTAGTGCACGCGCGTACGCTACCCCATCGACTCTGATAATTTGCGATTCGTTTCGTGTTTAGGACTTGTTTTCGCACACTTCGCACTCAACTCAGCATGCCTTCCGTGCGCGTGCGGAAGCGCGAAAATGGCTGTGAATTTGCGCGGAACAAATCTCAAAATATCGAAGTTCGGGAGGCCACGCAAACCCGCGAGTTCAACAAAGCGATTTTTTTACCACATCCACCGATTTTTCGAACACAGCCGCGCGCACCGATCCCGGCGGCCATGTTTTGACTTCTGTGCGTGCAGGCACTCTTTCCGAATTTCTCTACGTGCGAGTTTCGTGGACCTTTCAAGCAAGCTACCCAACCTGCCTCCTTCCCGTGTGTTTTGGTTTTCAAGGTTGCCCTCCCGCCGCATCCTGCCCTCTCTTTAACGCAACTCCTTGCCATTCTCTCGCAAGTCTGCTCACCTATCTTGATCACAACCCCTTCGCCGGTCTCCACCGCTCCGCGACGCCCGCCACGCTGGCTCGAATTAGTTTCGATTTCTGGCTGTAAACTGGCCCAGAGCTGTTTCACGCGTTATGGCATGTTGCTCGCTTTTGGTGTGCATGTGTGGTCATGATGGCCGACGGGAGGACTAGCACGCTTTTCGTGACGCTCAACAAAATGTCGAAAGTGCGACCGCTTGGCTTGAGCGTAATCTGCACGTCAGGTGCCGCGTTGCGGAGCGCTTGCTCATAGCTGTTGACCACCTGGCAGCCAACTTGCCGCTTTGGGCGTCTCGGTATTCAGCTGTGGAGGAGAATATTTCACGGAAGGCGGTGGCGGCTACATGTGCGTGAAACTGTTTTCGCAAGGTCGACGTCGGGCCCGGTGCCGAGCCTGAAGCTTCCGAACAGGACCACTGCAGCGGCGATTTGTGGCAGCGCGTCATCGACTCCGACCTGGGAGAATAGGTGGGAAATCTGTTGCGATGGTTTGCACGGATTGAGGCATTGTGAATTAAGTAGGTGGCGAGAGCGATTTGGAGGAATCGGATTGCAAGAACGACGAAACTTTGGAGCCAGTGCCTCATGCAGCTTATGCCACGGGCCTCGGTGAACGGGCACCCTGCCATTTTAAATGAACTCGAGACCACCCTTATCGCTTCTGCTCTTCGAAACACGTGCATCACGGACTTTTTGAGGCAAAAAAAAAAAAAAAAATGTGTTTTCACTCGCAACTTTTTTAAAAGCTGTGTTTCATTTACTACGAACTTCGGGGTGCAGCGAACGGATGCTGCGTCACGGTCAGGTTTTGTTATAAGCGGGCTTGACTGTATATCATAAAATCTGAAATAAAGACCCCCCTCCTCCTTTCAGGCTACCTATGCAATTGAGGAAGAAGTTACTCGTGCAATAGCAGTGTTTGCGATGAAACCCACGATTTCCCTAGATATTGGCCGTGAAGTCTCTAGTTCCTAGACTGTCTTCCGGTCCGTGGCTTCAACAGTTAGTTTCAACAGGCTTCAACAGTTAGTTTATTAAAATGCCACATCATCTCATTGTAACAGCTTGTTATTTTCAAAAACAGTTGAAAAGCTCAAAATGAAGGTGGTCGACGACAGCTTCCACAATTTGCTAGGAGAGCTGGTCACATCGCTGTAACTTCTCATTGTTGCTGGAAGACTAGTATATGTGTTTGGAGCCTTTCAGATAGAAAAATACTGCTTGTGCATTCTTTTGGGATTCACTACTGCGATTACAAACACTACAAAGTGTGACCTTTCTGTCGTGCTGTAAAGAGATGGGTAGAGAAAAATTTATTGTTGAGGTCCCTTTAAACAATTTTCATAAGTTAATGCCATTTTAGCTACATGGGGGAGATAGCTGATTGCTGAGACTGTTGCTTCGGCGACAATATAGCTTAAAACAGAACTCTTGTGATCAATATGGCATCGATTGGGGCGTATGTACATGGGGTGCATTCATCTAGGTAATTCATTAATGAAAACAAGAAAAGTTGCCACATCTCATTTTGTTGAGAATTCTTGTTGTTGCTGATTATTCAAAACACTATTAGAAAAATATTTGATTTCGAATATCCACAATTCCATTCATTATTCAAAATTTTTAAATATTCGTACGCATCTCATATAAACTACAACAATTTAGAAAGCCTAGAACTCCATGTGCATTTGTGCCCACTTTGCTCTGTGTTCAGTAGATGTGCCAAACTGCTGCACTTTAACTCACTTTTGCAGGTCACCGCACGCAGCTTCAAGCACTTGGCATCACTACTCACCCTCCTGCAGTCTTTCATTCCAACACAGTAAACAGCCATCTTGTTCTTTAATTAACTCTTTACGTGTTTCGGTTTTTCTGCATCCCATCCGTAGTTAAAGCAGCGATGGCGGAGTTAAAGAAACAATTTCTTTAACTATGCAGCATACGGCCCAGAGACAGAAGACAGCAACGTAGCGACCACGATTCTTGGGCAGCAGCAATCTGCCAGCACGGGTGACAGCATCCTGGCAGCACACAGTCTGACCCTTTTGAAGAACACAGTAGGGCGACGCACACTCGCACTGCATAACACGTGCCACTATCGCTGGACAGCTGGTGCGCATGGTTCCCACAAGTTTTGCACAGTGATTTGGAGCTATTGCAGTAATAGGAACGAAAGAACCTAACAACGTTTCTGCTACTCTTCTTTCAACTTCGTCATGATGGGGTTTAATGTATTCTCCTTGGACAGGCAGTACCCGATATGTCCAACTTGATAGAGATCGTCAAATAGTTCAATATTTCGATGAATCAAAACTATAGTGTATTTAAGACTCCAGCTCTCAAAGGTGTTTTAGGAAATTGTAACAAGCGCTAACATGCCAATTCGCTCAATGTTGTGAAGAACGTTATGCTGTTTGCTTCTTGCTCTGCATTTATACTGCTAGTAGTGCGGATTTCCACGTTGCTCCTATACACGGTTCCAGTAGTCAATAAAGAGCCTTAGTCTTCCCAGTATTGGTAAAGCGTAGCGTATAGACTCTTTCAATGTTTACAAACACAGACCCTTGATAACATCCGGTTTTCTTCACCGACGTGCCTTAATAACCTCGGTGGACAACAAGAGCTTTAGAAAATAGACCACCAATTTCTCCAGTTATCTTCTCTTATTAGGTACATTATGTTAGAATAAATGTTCTTTTGAGCTTCATAGAACTTATAAAACATTCCCTTGTACTTTACGCATGTTCCTTTTATGTGAAAAACGAAAGGGAGACTTTCCTTATCATTAAAAAGAACATGAAAACATGCTTCAGTTTCGACGTTAGCAGCTGGTAAATGAGTGAGTGAGCAAACTTAATTTAACCAGCAGATTGAGGCGTGGGCCTAAGCCGCGCCAGGGGTGGTGGAGAGACCCTGTCTCTCAGCGGCCTCCCGTGCTCGCTGGATGGCCCATATTTGATCTGTCCGATCTGAGCTGATCAGGGCGGCTCTCCACCGCGCCCCAAGCTGTTCTGGGGAGACACATTGGCGTCCAGTATCTGTGTGCATTCCCATAACATATGCTCTAGGGTGGTGCGTCTCATGCTACATAGCTTACACGAGTTATCTGGGTATAGTTTGGGGTAGATGCGATTTAGGTGCTTCGGGTTGGGAAATGTTCTAGTTTGAAGTCGCCTCCAATCAACCTCCTGAGATCTGTCTAATGTGGAGCTAGGTGGTGGAAATCTGCGCCTCAACTTTTGGTAGAATTGGATAATGTCGCAGAACCTAAACATTGTGTCCCTCTCCCACCACTCCTCTCCTCCCAGCACCTCATGTGAAGCTCCATCGCGAGTGATGGCGTCTCTCATAATCATATGGTGGTTTTGGGATGTTAAACCCCACATATCAATCAATCAATCAATCAATCCATCGCGAGTGCAGTAAGTGAGACCTCGCACTACGCGGTGAGCCTCCTCGTTGAGGTGGGGAATGACGGACGCAAACGGGATGTGGGCTGGGAACCATATAATATACCTTTCTTCGAATTCCTCGGATGATATGAGATTTGCCTTGCGGAAGAGTATGTTGGCTGCCTCGGTAGATATTCTTCCTCGTGCATAGTTAAGGATTGCCGACTGCGAGTTGCTGATGACATACCTACACTTTGGGGAAATTATGGCCTGTGCAATAGCCACCTCTTCAGCGATTTCTGAATTATCCGAGCATATGGAGCACGCGTTTACGCATTTGCAGTCGGTGTTTATTACTGCCGCAACGTAGGATTTGTGACTTGGGTACTCCGCTGTGTCTACGAACACCTCCTTGTCTCTGCCGTAGGCCTTAGTAAAGTTCTAGCGCGGCTTTCTCTTCTGCCCTGATTAAGTTCGGGGTGCATGTTTTTGGGCAGATTGGAGACCTGGATCTTTTCCCTGATCTCCTTTAGAACCGACACTTTACTTCCTTGTTGCCTATGGTAATTTATCCCCAACTTGTCAAGGATACACCGTCCTGTGCGCGTGCTGGCTAGCATCTCCAACTGGGCAATCTGTTGCGCTTCTATCAGCTCCTCTAAAGTGTTATGTAAGCCCAGTTGAAACATTTTTTCGTTGCTGGTGCTATCTGGAAGGCCCAAAGCTTGTTTGCACGCCTTTCGTATGAGTGCGTTGATTTTGAGTTTTTCGGCTGTATTCCAGTTTAGATATGCCGCTACGTAAATAATATGACTTATGGCGAATGAATAAATGAGCCTGATGACGTTAGCCCCTTTCATGCCCTGGTGTTTATTTGTGACTCTCTGGATTAGCCGTATCGCGTTGGTGACTTTGGTTATTAACCTCTTGACGGTTTCACCGTTGTACCCTTAGACTCGATGATGAGTCCAAGGACTCTGATTTGTTGCACTATAGGAATAGTCCTGCCGTTTTTGGTGTGACTTTGGATCTCTTCGTAAGCACGGTCCCGTTTGTATCTCTTGGGTGGTCTGCCTTTAAGCGTTGGGCGATAGAGGAGGAGTTCGGATTTATCTGGCGAGCACTCGAGGCCAGTACCTTCAAGATACTCCTCAATAGTGGTGACGGCCTCCTGTAGTCTCTGCTCTATCTCTCTGTCACTACCTTCACACGCCCAGATGGTGATATCATCTGCATATATAGAATGATGTATTCCGCATATTGAGTTCAGCCGCGCCGGAAGTCCTATCATTATGAGATTAAACAGCATTGACGATATTACCGAACCCTGTGGGGTACCAGCACTGCCCATAAGCCTTTCCTCAGATCTCAGTTCTCCCATTACGATGGATGCCGTTGCCTTCAGGAGTGTCCAGTGTTTGACAGCGGCATGAAAAGGATAGAAAGAATTAGGACCTTGTCAATATAGCTTTTTTCAAAACTGTAAAGTTAGCCTCCCTGCGATGCAGTTTTCACATTTAATCATGGCCAGTGACTTATTGCATTTAGCCTGTTCCAAGTGCGGCTTGATTACGCAATGACGTGTAAAATGTTGACTGTCAGTTAGGAAGTCCTTGACATAGTTATACGCTCTCGATCCTAAGCTTAATTGGCAGATCTGATGTAATATTGCCATATGCGATGCTTTGTCGAAGGCTTTTTTAAGGTCTAATCCTAAGATCGCCCGGGTAGCTCTTGTTTTGTTGTCTAGAATCTGCTGCTTAATTTGCAGGATGGCGTCTTGCGTGGAGAGCCATGTGCAGAACCCCGACATGGAATCTGGGTAGATTTCGTTTTCCTCAAGATAAGTGTTGATTCTGTCTCGAAAAGCGTGTTCCATCAGCTTCCCAGCACAAGACGTTAGTGATATGGGGCGTAAATTCGATAGATCAGGGGGTTTCCCGGGCTTGGGGATGAGGATTACTTTAGCTTTTTTCCACTGTTTTGGTACAGTGCCCTCGGTCCAGCACTCGTTAATATATTGCGTGATGTTCTCTATGGCTTGGTCGTCAAGGTTCCGTAGTGTTCTGTTGGTGATCCCGTCTGGTCCCGGTGCAAATTTGGTGTTTAGCTTCTGTAGCACAGCCCTGGTTTCAGCCACAGTAAACTCCTCATCTAAGAGCTCGTTCGGGCCTCCGGAATATGGTCCGTGCTCTATGACAGGCATGGCGGGAATGTACGTGTTGCTAGCCTCAGCAATAAAGTCCTTCTCACTGCCGTTATACCGGTGCACCAATTTACGCAAGGTTTGCTTGTGTGCTGATTTGGTGTTATCTGGGTCTAGCAGGTGTTTGAGCATGCGCCATGTCTGACCAGCATTCATTTGGCCATCGAGACTATTACAAAATCTGTCCCATTGCTGTTTCCTTAGCTGCTTACAATGTTCTTCGATCTGTTTGTTCAGCTTGGCTATGCGCTTGGGCAAGGGCCTGTTGTGCCTCTGTCCCCGCCATCTGTTCTGCAGTGATTGCTTGGCCTCCCACATGTGTGCGAGACTGCTATCAATCTGCTCTAGGGGTGGACTTGAAGTGATACTTCGCGTTGCCTCGCTGACGTCGTTATTGACATCTTTGATCCAATCTTCAATATTGTGGATAGGGTCTTGTTTTTTCGCGTTTCTGACTTTCCGAAACTTATCCCAGTCAGTCCATCTAATCTGTCTCTGAATTTCTGCGGCAGCCATGGTTTCTATCCTGATTTCTAATATTCGATGATCACTCCCCAGATCAGTGAATGTGTTTTTCCATTTAGCGGTCCCCACGTTTTGAACTAACGTTAAGTCTGGAGTGGTGTCTCTTGCAAGCCCAGTTCCCATACGCGTAGGGGAGTCGGGGTCAGTGATGAGAGTTAAGCCTGTTTCTTGAATATCCTGCCATAGCGTTTTTCCTTTGGCTCTTGTGTATCCGTATCCCCAAGCACTGTGTGGAGCGTTAGTCTCCACCTATGACGAGTGGATTGGGTCCCGCTATATCTACGGCCTTCTTAAAGAGAAGAAAGAAGCGTCGTATGCGTGTGGCATTGCTGTACAAATTCAGAATAAATATGCTCTGAGATTTTTTTCTTGTAGGGGCAAGTGTACGAGTATATGCTCAATCTCTGTGATGCGGGTGTCGGGGCAGATTGCTACGAGTTCCTTCCTTACTAGAGTGGTTAGTGTTCTAATATCCCCTGTTGGGGGGCCGATCGCCTGATATCCTGGTAGCTTAGCTAAACCATGGGTTTCCTGCAAAATTGGAACATCCGGTTTGGTACTGTCCCTAAGGTGTTGCAGGACTGCTCTCTTCCCCTCATAGCACCTGCAATTCCACTGCCAAATAATTAAGTCCCTTTTTCTGGGCTTCCTTATTTTGAGTTGGCTATCGAAGAGGGAGGAGGGTGAAAGGAGGCAGGCCTCATGAAATTAGTTGATATAGTCGCTGATGTGGTGCCCTGAGATAAGTGTGAATTGCCTTCAGTGCTCATCGGAAGGTTGGTAGCTGGAAGTACCGGAGGTGTCCTAGGGTTGAGATTGGCTACATTAGCTTCGAGTTTATCTAGTCTATTCCATGATGATGGATATTGCAAGCGAGAGATTGTTGGTTGCCTCTGCCTGTTCCTTAACTGCTTTCTGTATTTCGGACAATGTTTCATTAATGTTCGAGGTTTGCGCTGTAGTTTTGTCATTAGAAACCTGAGCTTTTC